CACCAATTTTTTAAAATTAAACACTATCTAAAGATTTGCATCGAAGCTTTTTTTTTTGATAGTGATTTTAATCACTGTCAGATATCATTATACTTGATCCAACTATGCCACGTCACCACTGTGCCGCGACCTTCCTTTGCTGGGTTTTTTTTTTACGTTTTTAATACTTTATTAAAACAAAATAAATTGAATTATATACTTCTGATTTATCATAGATGAGGTTAAAGTTAAGAAAATAATTTTATTCATTCTTGATTGAGATTAAACATTATATTTTAAATAATAATTATTTTCAATTTTACTAATCTTAAGTTTTTAGAGTAACGTTGTACCCTCTGTACGATAAGTTGGTATAAGTTATTTTGGGTTTGAATTCATAAACCCCATATGGCTTATAAAATTATACTACAATAATGCATTATTGTTAATATTATTTTATATCTAATTAAACGTTTCGCGTATATAATACTAAATTCATTTATTAACTTATAAATTGTTTGTGATTATTTTTGCACGGGACCTAGCAAATCCTAATAACGGTCACATTTGTATATATGTTTCAAATAATGTGCATAAATTTTATCCAAAATTTAGTAGTATTTAGACAGTCAATATGTCTTTCAAATCTTAACGCCATAGATCAATTAGTTTTGGTGGTTCCGTATATGTCTAAAAATACTTGCAAGACGAGAATTACTTCTCTTCCCTTTACAGTCAAGAGCATCTCCAGGTCAACTTTAAGATGGACGACGAATTTACAATATTTTTATCAACTAATTTGGAAATAATTTGTACAATTAAGTTTTGAATTTGAGGGTTATTCCATTTCCAAAGACTAAGACATTTTTCATTACGCTCGAAATCGTGTACCCGACCTTATTTTTATATATTAATTAATGTTACCTACCCGTGTGAGATTCAAAATAAATTGTATTAATATTCATAATACATACTAATACAATATAATAAATCTAATAGTAGTAGACGAAGAAACACTTTTTATTAAGAAACGTATTTTAACAATTGTTATTAAAAGATCCAACTTGTATCAATTTTTTATTTATTATCTTAAAATATAATAATAAACAAACAGCAGAAAATTAATTATAGCTAAGTTAAACAACAAAATGTAATACTCTTTCATTAAAAAAAAACCAGTGTAGCAATAGCAATAACATCGGTTTATGTGTTCATGAACAAATGTAAAAATTAAGTTTTCATATCGCCAAGTATATCCTGTAATATTTTAAGCGCCATTATTTTTTTAACCTGATTTAAATATGTTTTAGTAACTGCTAATGAAAGTTAATTATTTATATTTTGGATAAAAACAGAGGTTGATATACATTGTTGATTCTTAAGCAGTTCAAATCTATAAGATATTTTTAATCTGTAATTTAAATATTTACATTGTGTATTTTTCGTGTACTTTACACGCGAAAAATTTTGTACTGCGGATATTTTGTTTTTAAATATTTTTTATTTGAATGCTTGTACCGATGGCCACAATTATACTACAACGTAATAAAAAAGTGTGTATATGAGCGTGTTGTTTGTTCATTTCTTGAATATCAAATATTCGGCATGTTAAGATGTTACGGTGACATAAGTTAACAAGTTATAAGCTCTTACAGCCTACTCTTCTTTCACTTTGAGTATCAATATTTGGTTGAAGCGTCATTTACTGATGGGAAAGAGTAGGGAGGTATTACTCGAAAGCCGGCCGGCTGTCTCGTTTCCTCCTATCCCCTCGTTTTTCGTTTGTGGTGGTTAACGAAGAGGGTGTTTTTCCGTTCACTTTACCTACTCTTGTTTGGTTCACGTCACCGTCGTCATTGCACTCTGGTCACCGTTCCCGACTATCTCGCGCACCGTCCGCCGATCAATATGGCGCGCCGTTGTTGTTGTCACGCGTTGCGCCGCCGCTGTCGTGTTTGACTTCCACACGTAAAATTATTTTCACTGGCTTATTTAGCGCCACTAAATTTCCAGCCAGATTTCAGTCATCTATTTTAGCCATGACTCAATAATATTTATTTTTTTAATTGGTATGCTTTTATTTTTAATGAACCTCAAGAAATATGAAAGTACACTAAAAATGTATTTTGTACTTTATTAAGTACGACATGCATTGTACTTTTTTTATTATCACACATAATTATAAAAGGATATTTCCTTTTTTACATTTCAATTCATTTTATGAGTTATCTGTAGGTTTATTTGGATGAGATATGTATTCTGAAATAATAAAAGATTTTAAAAATTCATGTCTTATAAAATTAATATACTTATTTTATTTTGCTTTTGTTGACATCTGTTGGTAACGAACTTAGTAAAATTTTAATTAGTGATCTATAGGTAAGTTCAGTGGTATTATTTCACTTTTTCCGGGGTAAGCAAACGAACCACTTAACAATTCAATTTTTATTAATGATATATTTTTTTTTAAAAAATACCTAAGTTTCGTGGGCTTTTGTCGAGCAAAAAATGAATGTAGAAGAGATAAAAATGTCTTGATTGATGAATGGAGTGACTAAAGAAGATAGGATAAGGAACGAACGTTTAAGTGTAGCGTCAATTGTGGATAAAATGAGAAAAAATAGACTTGGATGGTTTGGTCATGTTATGAGGCGAGAAGAATCGGAAGCTGTAAGAACAGTTATAGAAATGATTGTTGAACGAAGAATAGGTAGTGGAAACCCAAAAAATAGATGGAGCGATGTTATTGAATGCGATATGATGTGTGTGTAGATGATCTGAGAAATCGTGTCAAGTGGAAGTTTAGTATAAGGGTGGTCGACCCCAAGTAGTTGGGATAAAGGCGAGGAAAAAGAAGACCCAATTTTGTTGGCTACTAAAAAAGTCATCCCCCAAATTTTAACATACATAAAAATTTTACCTGAATAGCTATTAGATCTGATATATTTCTGATATCTTGATTGATCATTTTGTTTTTAGTCAACATTTTCTAACAAAATTATGTTAGAAACTGTCGATAGTTTTTAATTATGAAGCTTAAATGCTAGTAATAATATTATTCTTAGTTATACCCAAAGTAGACATTAACTCGTTGATTAACTTAACATTTTTCAGTTAATTATATAATTAACTGAAAATAACCATCAAACTAAAATTAATAATACGATAGAAATTATTGGCTGCATACGTGGGGTTTTAAATGTAAATAATTAAATTCATACTATAATCTAGTTTATGTTTCTTGATTAAAAATGATTATACTCCTAAAGTTTGACATAATATAGACACAACATTGATGTAATATATCAATTACTTATATAATAATATTAATGTGATAGAAAAAGATTTTATTAATACGGCTTTCTCACCTGCTCTTGATTTGAGAAAAATTCTCAAATAGACTAAATAGTAGATTATGTGTATGCAATATGTACACATTAGATTATAATGGAAATTTAGATACAAATATTTATCATAGATACTAAAATGACACTATAAATTTGAGAGAGGAAGGAGTAATGTTTTGGTTCTACTATTGCTAAATTAGAAAACGAGAAAGAAAAAATATCACACTTTATTAGATCCTCAAACTAATTTAAATAGTGAATAAATTTGTTTTCAACCTATTTAAATTTATATATTTTTTTTCTATTTTTATTAATTTTAATTTTAAACTTATCAGCATTGTTTCTATTTAACTTAACTTGAATTGATTATTTCCATAAACATGACTATTTTTGGGTTGTACTAACATAGTATTATGGTAATTTTATTTCCAAATCAGCATAACCTTTGTATCAGAATGATTTATCTATTAATCGAGTTAACAGAAAATGAACCAATATGTGAATTTACAAAATTTGAGGTACAAAGCTAAAGTTTTTTTTTTATTATAATTTACACCAGGAAAATTTTGGTAAATAATTTGTATATTGAAGTTTTTTTAAAAGTCTTGGATCTTGTTAATTACCTTATGTTTAAAAATTACATGAATTATGAGGTTACACAGGGAATCCAGTTTCTGTTTAAACTTTTTTTTAGAAATTATGAGAAAAAAGGAATATAAAGTATATTGTACACTCATGAGATTTCAGAGGCTTTTTAGCATCCCTATTTTCAAATATAATATTTAAAAATGACTATTTTTACAAATATTCTAAGACTGAATATCTTTTCTTCAATTTTTGACGCCGAAATTAAACGATTTCGGTTATCTTTTTTTTTGTAAACATTCGTTGATCCTTTTTTTTTATTAATGAAAATAGAGAGATACATAAATTGGGCTATTGCTTATAATCCACAAAAATTGATTCAATTAAATTTTTTAGTCGTGATCTTTTTTTTTTGATCTTGTCTTCATGATTGTCGCAGCCCATTGACAAAATATATGTTATTTCAATACTCATATGCAATTACGTACGTTTTAGTTATTTTTAAATAATTGAAAATTATCCCATATAGTTCTTTAATTGAATTTCTCATTTAAAAAAGTTAAAACCAAAATTAAAGTTTGATAAGAATGCGTAATATGAGTATGTATAGATTAGATTACATATATATTATTTGAAACAAAATCTTGACAACATATTATATTACTAAATTGTCCATATCTACGTTTTTACTTATGACTAAAGTAAAACTAACTTTGATTTATCTGATAAAAAGGTATTCTGTCATCTTCAGTCTCACAATGTAATCATATTATATTATTAAAATTGTGTTTAATATGATAATAAAAATGAAAAATATATGTATAATTTTCAGACTAATTTTTCTTTTTTATCATTTTAATATATAATTTAAATTAATCATATAAATTATTTACAGGATGCAAGAAAAGCAGCATGTGACACTAGTTTGGCACAAGCAACCACCAGTATGGAACCGGTTGGCCGAATACAAATGCGAACGAGACGCACACTACGTGGTCATCTTGCTAAAATATACGCCATGCATTGGGGTTCAGACTCTAGGTATTTAAAAAAAAAAAAATTAATCTTAAAAAATCAAAAATTTAAATAAGCTTTATAAAATCTAAGAACTCTAAATTTAAAATAATTTTTTTAATTAGTATTGTTTAAAAATGAATTAATAAATATTTGAAATTTATAGAAACTTAGTATCAGCCTCCCAAGATGGTAAGCTCATTGTATGGGACAGTTATACAACTAACAAAGTCCATGCAATACCTTTAAGATCTAGTTGGGTAATGACATGTGCTTATGCTCCATCTGGAAGTTTTGTTGCTTGTGGTGGCTTAGACAACATATGTTCAATTTATAGGTATTTTTTTGATAAATTATTTTCAACTATTATAATATTTTAACTTTAATAATTTAATTTGGTTTTAGTTTAAAAACAAGAGAAGGTAATGTAAGAGTTAGCCGAGAACTGCCAGGGCACACAGGTTACTTATCATGTTGTAGATTCCTCGATGATAACCAAATTGTCACTAGTTCTGGAGATATGTCTTGGTAAGTTTTGTATGGTCTTTAAAATCATTATCTGTTTAATAATTTATAACTTATTTTTAATATAATCAAACAGCGCATTGTGGGACATTGAAACTGGCCAACAGTGTTCATCATTCATTGGTCATACTGGGGATGTTATGTCACTCTCAATGTCACCTGATATGCGGACATTTGTATCAGGAGCTTGTGACGCTTCTGCCAAAGTATTTATTTATTTATAAATTTATATATTAATTTAATATTTTACTTTTGAATAATATAAATCCTTTTTTAGTTATGGGATGTTCGTGATGGGACATGTAAACAAACATTCCCTGGACATGAATCTGATATTAATGCTGTTACAGTAAATACATAATTTTTTATAATTTAGAAACAAAAAGTTATTTTTTTCATTTTCTTATCAAAAAATATTTCTTTTAGTTTTTCCCAAATGGTTATGCATTTGCTACTGGCTCAGATGATGCTACTTGTCGTCTATTTGACATAAGATCAGATCAGGAACTAGCTATGTATTCTCACGATAACATAATATGTGGTATAACTTCAGTATCATTTTCAAAATCAGGAAGATTATTGTTAGCTGGTTATGATGATTTTAATTGTAATGTTTGGGATTCAATGAAGGCTGAACGTGCTGGTAATTATTTACAATATTTAATTATATATAGTTTTATCAAATAATAAAAATGGCATTAAAAAAATATTACATAAATAATATAGAATCAAAATATTATTTTATTTATATTTATTATAAAGCTTTTATATCTTTTAAATCTTTATTATAGAAAATGTTAAATACATTTTACACTTTATAAATTTCCAGTTGAAATTGTTTTTTGTCAACTAACCAACCTATCTTAAAAAAAAAAAAACAGTTTTTTAAATTATTTTTGAGAATTATGCATTTTTAAACAAATATTTCTATGTATTAATGATATATTTTAAGTGAAATGCTTAGATTTTTGAATTTCAGTTATAAAGTTGAAAATTGTGGATTTTTTACTATAATAAACATTTTTAAATATTAAGTTAGTATAAATATTGATTTATTCCCATTAATTATAAAACTTAAATCAACAACAAGATTATAGTAAATAATCTTACAGCTAAATATTACAATTAGTTTTACAAATAATTATATTTATTCAGTTTTATAGTAAATACATTTTTATCGCTATAATACAATATAGAACTAATAAGTAGACAATAGAATATTTGATATCTGAAAATGATTTCCTATTTTTTTTTTAAATATTTAATGTTTTAAGTAAGTGGAATAATTTTTATCTTTCTGATAATTCTTATCATTGCATATTTGTTTTATCATAAACATGCCATGGAAACATTGGGTACTTTCAAAAATGTTTGAATTATTACAATTTAAGTAAAATATATTTTTTTAAATCAAGAAAGTCTAATTCTATCCAGACTGGGCTAGCATTTTTTGTCAGGAGAGGACAGAAGTACCAAAGTTTCATTTATTCTTTATATTAATTATATCTTATCAATGATATAACTAAAATATTATTTAGATTCCCTGTAGTTCATAATAATATTTCTTCAAATAGTTTATTTCATTATTATTTTTTAAATCATTATTAGATATAAAAATTTAATCATATAGATAATATCTTAATTACTTCTTTTTGGGTTGTAATTGGAAATGGTAAAACAGTTCGCGAATCTTGGTTGGGAATACCTTTCCTAAGGTTTCCTTCCTTTTTTATTATTGCTAATTTTTTATTTCTCATTCTATGATTAACATTAGAAATATGATTTGATCTTGGGAATGATTATTAACACTTACTTGTATTCATCTAAAATCCAGCCCCATTTAAATGGCCATTCATCCAAAACTTTTTGTTCTTTAATACACCGAATTTTATAATTTAGATCATCTTTTACAGTTAAATTTGCATGAGCCATTTATTTATTAATTTATATTTTAACTTTTAAAGCTGTTAAACAGTATTTTAGTTTATTTGTGTTACTAAGAAATAATATTTACAAATTACCAGGTAAAAGTGGTTAGTAATGAATCATTGCCATGTACAATTTTAAAACTATTTATAAGATTCAAATAACCCAAATATAGTTAATATTTATTTAAAAATGATCCCTATTTATTTATTTCTTTGTTTTTTAATTAAAATTTTACCATGAATTTATTATTAAATGTTCAATTTACGAGGTATTAATTCCTTGAGGGTGTGGTGTAAAATATCTTATCTTAATATATTCATTTAAATATCTTTTAAGTGTTTAAAAGAATAATATATGAATATTTAATTTTTAAAAAATTAATAATCTTAATTATAAGTATAATTTATATTATTTTAGGTATTTTAGCTGGCCATGATAACCGTGTTAGCTGCTTAGGTGTTACTGAAGATGGTATGGCTGTTGCAACAGGTTCATGGGATAGCTTCTTACGTATTTGGAATTAAGTTTGATTTTTAATGATGCTAATACCAGACGATCTAAACATTTACAAAAAAAACTTTTTAAATCATAACAAATTGAAATCTACAGTAATGTACAGATCACAGTTCAAATATTATTATTTCTTAAAGGGGGACCACTCACGCATTGTATACTTTTTTGTTTTTAACAAGCTGTCTTTAAAACTATTTAATTAAATAAGAGAAAATAACACCCAACTTGAAGGTCTTCCGTCTTGTATTTTAATTCTTGAACAAATGTTCATTAATTTGTATAGGTGCTCAAAAAACAACCATAATTAAATTCAAATTGTGGTAATTCGAAACAAATTAAAATATATGAAACCGTAAATAAATAAAAATAAAAAAAGTTTAGGTACAAATTAAAAAAAACCATTAATCAATATTTATTATTTACTGTTAAAATATCAAAACATAGAATAAATTATTTCAAAATAAAAATGGGTAAAAAGTAAATTAAATTATTTAAATATATAATAATGTGTTGAGATGTATCAATGTATAACAATATTTATAATAATTAAATTGATTTATTATTATATTATATTCGTCTACATATTTTTTAAAGTGTTTAATTAAAAATAGTAAACTAGAATACTATCTTGTATACATATATTTCCTTGTAAATATTTAGTAAATAATAAAATTGTGTATATTATATTATTTTAACATTTAGTTTTTAATATGAACAACAATTATAATCTGAACTATGCGTTTATTTTTAATAATCTGACCGATTGAGATTTTTCACGAATTTCAAAATTATACTTGAGTGATGGATTTATACTTTAATGTGAAATCTATATAATGTATGTATGATGGATTTAATTTATATGTTGACAGTATAGAAAACATAATGAATTCCAAGGTTGTACATTTAGCACAATATTGTATTAAGTACTTTATCCTGTTTAAGTATGTATATTAAGTTGGAAATATGCCTCTTTAAAGATAGAATATATAAAATTATTATAACACCACGGACGGCCTTCATTAGGGTTGTAATAATTAATTAAAACATAAATTTAAATTTAACTCTCATCTTTTTTCTGTTAATTATTACTATATATAAATTATTTTATTTTTATTTTAAAGTGCACATACTGTATAACCTTTTTTCTATTTTATGAAAACATTTTTTTAAACTGTTAACAACATATGGGCGTGAGTTTTTTTTTAATTATCAAAGATTGATTACTAGTGTTAAATTAAAAATTATATTTACACTATTGTTACTTTATATAAACCACTATGCTATTGAATCAAACACTCCCTAATTGTTGCCAAATGTCATGGGTAAACATTTTTGTACAATCAATTTTAATTACATGTTAGCGCAATATTCATTCTAAACTAAATACTGTTTAATTTGTTTTAAATAATAAAAATATATGTAACATAAATTTCTCAGAAATCATATTAGTATGTAATTGAAAAATGATTAATATCAGTTATTATCAATTTACCATCTCTTTATCTTTTTTTAATGACTAAATTAAACTAATATCAATCAAATTTAATTTAATATCTGTTCTTTGTTTTTGTTTGAGTATAGATTATTTTTAAGGTTATTTTGTCAAAAACTAATTTAAATTTAAACTTAATTTCAGTCGTCTATTACTCAAAATTCATAAAAAACCATATGTTTACTTAATTTAATTACATATTTTCTGGTTGATAAGTAATTATTTGTATTCATCATGTAATGATTTTTCCAAAGACTTATAATGTTGGTTTCTAAAATTAATTTTATTATTACATTATTATGCAAAGCGTCTATGTTGTGTAATGCATTAACTCTTATTTAATATGTCAACACAAATTTTTTCTAATTTATTTAAAATATATGTAAAATAAAATTCGTGAATATGCAAACTGAAGAAAAGTATCAGTTATGCTTTTGTTTAGCTTTAATGACTAACAATTAAGTATTTTTACATAAATGTCTATTTATTTATATGCATGTATATTTATACATTTTATATATGTACATGTGTATTGGTAAAACTATTAATAGATTGTACAAATTATCACATTTAGAGAATAATTTTTTGCTTAACTAAACATTTTGTAAAAATTTTAATACATCCAGTACTTAGAAAATCAAATAAATTATTATAATGATTTTGTGTTTTACTTTTATTTTGTTAATTTTTGAGTGTGTGTTGCAGTCATTTTTATGAATTTTTCTATAGTTCATTTATTTTATAACTAAAAAATTATCAATAGGTTTACAACATACCATCTAAAATTATTGTGTATATATATATATATATAATATAAATTACATACTTTACAATTATAATTATGATTTTATTTCGGCAACAGTTTGATGTCACTCACTGTATAATATTAGATACTTTACTATAATTATAAAATTAATATTTATAAAATATTACAACTTAGGTCTTGATTAAATATAAGGTCTTAAAATTATTGTTGTACGATAAAATTAAGTAAATAAAAAATAAAATACAATGCAGTAAATGAATATCGCTGTTTTTGTCGAATTTCTAATCATATTAACTATAAGTTATCATTAATAATTTTAATTTATTGCCAAAAGGAAAAACACTAAAACCAAGTAGTTTATAGTGTCTTGAATTTTTGTTATTTCCTTTTTTTTATTGCTATTGCGTTTATTTATTATTATAATTATTATTTTTTAATATAAGTGTAATAAGTTTGTCATTGGTCAAAATGAAATAAATATTTAACATATTCAAAAATTGTGTTCTTTTTTTTATACTAGACTTACTAAAAATTATTAAGTAAAGATTCAACTATCTAAAATAATATCTTCATAAAAATTTAACTTATACAAATGTTAATTATATTTGAGAAAAGAAAATATTTTCATTTATATATTAATTGTGTAATGAAATAATTAGACAATTATCTATATACATATATATATATATATATCAATGTTGAAAGAATTTCTTTTTAAATGTCAATTTTTAATTTAATTTTATTAAAATTATTTTAAAAATATTAATATAAAACAAGAAATATATAAAAAATATTTAACTTAAAAAGGCACAAAATAAAAATGACTAAAAAAACGTATTTTGTAAACAATGTTTCCATTATAAACAACACATGGCAGTATGTTAGTGTACTTTTATATGCATTCTGACCGTAAAAACCACCTTATATACCCCTAGTGTCGTTATCATTATGTAATATTACTTTAGCCAGTTTACACAAGTTTAATAATGAATTTATCAGTTGGTCAAGATCGCCATTAATTAAATTGTTTTTATTTTTAAACATTTCTATTGCCTTCCTTATATTAAGTTCTTTGTAATTATTTACGTTTATAATTAATTTTATGGTTTTAATAGAGTGATTATGTGTCAATAAATGTTCAGCCACCGGAGATTTATCTACTTCTTGATTTTTAATATTTCTTAAGTGTTCTTTAAACCTGACCCCTATATTTCTTTTTGTTTGTCCTACGTAATATTTATTACAACTTTCACATTGTATTTTATAAATGCCCGATTTCCTCCCTTTTACTTTGAGGTTACCTAATAAATCTCTTAAATTATTACTTTTAGGTGTTACTTAATTGATATCAAAATTCTTAAAAATTCTAGCTAATCCATTTCAAATGCCCTGATAATATAAAATAGATTTAATTACTTATTTTCCCCATGCTAGAGAGTGTACTATACAATTCATTAATGATTTCAGAATATGATTAGATACCTTTATATTTAGAGATGAGGATCACTTAAAAAGTAATATTTTTAGCTTGTTATTTTTGTTAATTTTTTTTTTGAAAAGCTTTTAGTAGTCTTTGAAAACATGAAAACTATTATTACTGTATTAAATACATAAAATTTACTCAACAACATTTACAAGGTGTTGGTTTAATGTGTATCACGAGTAGTAAGGTGATATTCAGTAGGATCTTAAATAGCAAAATCAAAAACTAAAATTTTCAATGAATGTGGGTTTTTCTGATTCTTTCACTCCAAATTTTTAAATAAAAAATAAATGTGATCACAGTATTTATCACATAATTCTTATACAATTTAATTGATCATTTGATTTCGCATATTCTCTTAAACTATGAACTCAAAATTGAAAAAAATGTCACTTGAGTATTACCTACCAAATCGTATTGAAATTTCATCGGTGTCCCATGATGTATTATATTTTTAATTTAGATGATTGCTTAACAAGAAAAAGTGGAAATCCACGGATAATATGATATTTTTTTTATTTAATAAGTTCATTTCGTATTTTATTATTTATTCAAACCGGTTATACTTTTTCCCATTAAAACTGTACTTGATATGAACTACAAAATTTATAATTTTTTTCTTTAATTTTTTAATAATTAGAGTTGTCATCCTTCTCTCTGCTAACGGAGTTACCATCCATTCCGGAGTTCCATGGTTAAGAAACCACCCATAAGGGATAGGAAGACCTTTATGGCCTTTTAGTGGGCTGCAAAAATCGTAATAATAATGTTGAATTTTTTTTAATTACATAAATTTTATTTGTTATGTTAAAATTGTATACTAAAAATCTATTAATTATTCAAAAAAGAAAGTAACGTAAAATATTTGTCATTTTCGTGACTCACTTGTCAAATAAATGTTAATAACAGCACTAACAATTAAGTTTTTCTTATTTGTATTATTACTATTTAAAATGTTAATTTTTGTAGATATAAACCCGTTTAGTTATACATATTTTTTAATACAATTTTAAAATTTAAATATATAATTTTGATATTATTTGTTATTGATAATTGTAAATCAGTGGCGTATACAGAAATTAAATTGGGAGGGTTTGAAATTTAAAGAAAATTAGATGTGACACTGCCCATATTGTTCGCTCACAAAAATTCCTGTTTTCGATTACTTTATTGTGGAAATATTTCTAGTATGATATGATCTTTTTTATTATTATTATTTATTGTTTATCATCCAAAACTATCGCTTAGCTTATAAATTTTGAGAGGAATTCAACCAATATTGCGTATGCCAGTGTTGTAAACAAATCCTTTAAAGAAAAATTAAAAAGTGTTGTACGGTCAGGTGTTGAAACAAGTTAGGGTACGTAATAAAATGATAAATCCAAGAAAAGGCTTCATTAATATTTCAATTAAGTTTAACAATTTCATGTAAATTTAGATATTTCTTAAAAATGATAAACTACAAGACGTTACGGCTCATATATATTATTTCGCATAATAGTAAAAATGTATGATTACTCAGTGGTTAAAGTGGAAAATGAGGAGTGAAATGAAATGAATATTAAACAAAACATCACAAAGTCAGTATTAAAATTTTAATTATTAAACTATAACAGAAACAAGTTTTGAAAATATCACCTTTTCAGCATCGTATCGAAGCTAATATTGACAGTAACCAATATAGGTATCTACATACAAAAAAATGAAATGTCAAATATAGTAATATAATTTATAAAGTATTCAACAAATTAAAAATATATCAACAACCTTGGTAGGTCTATTAATATAACAAATGTTTACATCATCTTAAATTTTTATTTCTATAACTTTATAACCCTTAATATAATAAGTCTCTTTAGCTTCACATGTAGTCATACATATTAATTACATTTTTTAAGCTTACATTAAAGAATTAATTAATTAAACTTTTGAATAATACAAAAACAAACAAGTACTTATATTACCATTGTCGTATCATAAAATTCTCATCAATTTTATAATTTAAGTTTTACAATTATTTTAGCTTTGATGCGAAGCTGAGAAGGTATTGGTTTTACTATAATGTGTTTTTTGTTTCTTACCACTTTTTCTCAGCTTTTACCAAACCGATTTCTTTCAACGATATGTCAAAAGATCACAAATCGTATCTAGTCGAAGACATTACCCTCAAAAATTGAACAATTTCCCTCGTTTCCCGTAAATGGGGGAAATCTCTAAAAAAGTCACAAATTTAAAAATCATAATTTTCGAAATTTTTTTTACTTAAAACTGCCGTAACTTTTTCAAAAATGAACTAATCAATATAATTTTTTTTTATAGATGCTTGATGTCTTTTCTTATTATTTTATAAATTTTTTTATAAATCTGACCCTTTACCTGCCTACAGGGAGGATTCAAAATGTCAACTTTTTCATAAAAAATTTACTTTTACACTTAACTTTTGAAAGTGTTCCGGAAAGTCTGACACTTTTATATATATCTTAAATTAAAGCTAATATAATGAACTTTATTATGGAAAAAAAAAATGTCGAACTTTATTTTGTTTTCACGGTGAAAATGGCTACCAAATGCTATTTTTGTGTGAAAATTCTCGATTTTATTTTTTACATTTTTAACTTTATAATGCTATAACTTATTGACAAGTGTATGGATCAACACAATTTTTTTAAGAGAAATAATATTATATCCCTTTTTCATTTGTCATACTTTATCTTAATCAGGATATAAATAAGGAAATAGGAGATCATGTAGCTTTTTGGAATAATGCACCAATTTTTAAAATTAAACACTGTCTAAAGATTTGCATCGAAGCGTTTTTTTTGATAGTGATTTTAATCGCTGTAAGATATCATTATACTTGACCCAACTATGCCACGTCACCACTGTGCTGGGTTTTTTTTAACAATTTTGAAATGTTGACACATTTGAATAATTTTTTTATATTATTGTTTTTCACTCTTCAGTGCTTAAAATTAAAGCGTCACCCCGGAATTTTGGGATTCGACTTAAAGGGGACGCTAGATTGAACTTCAAATAAGAAAGAGGACTCCGTCACCCTCACTTTAACCACTGTGTTCACCATAATTTATAGCAAATAATATTAACAATGATTCCTTCATGTATCATCGCTGTTTACACTATACTAACTGTGCATACTTCAGTTAAATGAAAAGTTTATTCTATACAGTGGCGCAGATCCTTATATAAATGTATTGTAGTTGCAATACATGTATAAGTTAGGCGATACCTAAAAACATAATTATCCTAATGAATGTCGGTAATTTCAGAGAATAACTTCATCAGCATTATTAAAACAAGTAACGACTGACGGTATTCACTAATTTAATAAATATAGTATATTTATGATAGAATTATAAAAGCTTTTAAAAATAACTATGTTATATATGGTAAAAGTGAAATAAATTTAAGTCATTGATTTACATTTACATAATAATACTGAAATTAATCTCGGATTTTTATGAAAACGTTTGTTTTTTTATACGCTTTGCTTATATTAAGCAAACATTTAAAGAGTTGTAAGTACCTTATTTACTAAAAACATGTATAATTTATAATAAAATTTTTTTCTTCTGGTGATTTTTTAAACCATATTGTCCAATTTTCAACTCAAAAGTAAAGGCAATAGGTAAAATCTGAAAATTTTCCCTGAAAAAAGGTTAATTTTTTTTTGGTTTACTTTTATATGTAAATTAACAATTTTAGGGGATGAGGCAAAAGATTTTTTGAAATAAAATAATGACATCCTAATGTATATAAGAAAATCTAAATTAGACAATAGTATTAAATATGAAAACCACTAACGGAATCGATTAAAGATGAAATTCGCTCTCACCAATACATTAAGTTTAAATAGTTTCCTGGCCTTATTATCACAGACAATGTAGTCTGTGCTACGGTTAAAAAAAAAAGTATTTTTACTAAATTTACAACGTAGATAAGATATCTTCTCTGCATCGCAGACTATATGAACATAGTCTGCGCTAATCCTTACTTTTTGTTTGTTGTGCTCCATTATCATTATGACTACCGTTATTATTATCACATTATTTTTATTTTGTATAATTATTGAGAATAATTACTAAGTTTACTGTAATTTTAATTTTAATTTATTATCTTTTAGAAGTTATACCAAATATAAATGAAATTAATAAAATAATCTTGCAGTGCGTACAATTATTTATTTAACCAACCGTATCGTATAAATATTTAGTACCTACAGACAATTCCTTGAAAAATGTGTTTTTAAGTAATTTTCTAACATTTACATAATTTGTATTGTATTGTTTAAGATAAATTAATAAATATGTCATCTTTAAATAGTAAGTAAATTAATTTCTCCAAATATTTTTCTTAAGGTATTTAATTTATTTATATAGATGTTTATTTATTTTAGCATCTAATCTATCAACAGATCAATTAGATTTAAGCAAAGATAAAATAAAGACTCCTAAATCTAAAGACATGCACTTACCTATATCTAGAGTTAGAACAATTATGAAAAGTACTCCGGATATTGAAAATATTGGACTTCCTTCTTTACATGTTGTTACTAAAGCTACAGTAAGTATTTCAGTAATCTATTTTTTAAACAATATCTTATTTAAATTATTAATTATATAATTATCTTCTTGTTTATTATTATTATTGTTTATATATTTATATATATTCTTACTTAACTATAGAATATTATGAACAATATACGTTATATTACACTAACTTAATCATTAAGGTATTACATTTTTCTAATAAAATCGCAATAAATTAAGTAAAATATTAAAGTAAACATATATAAATATAGTGAAAATAAAATTAAAATAACAGCAAATAATTAAAAAATACTTCTGAACTGACCAAAAATTAGATTAAAAAAATTTATTTTGAAGCCTAAAATACATAAGAAATATGAGTTTATGAATTACTAATATAAAAATATTTTTTTCTTTATTTTTTATTATATTTAGCTTAAAATATAATATTAAACTAAATATCAGAAAAATTATAAAACTGAAAAATCTAGTTCCTGAGATTATTATCCCAGATCCTTCATTGAACAGTCAATATTTCTTGTGTTTTATAAGATTTGTTAAAAGATTTCTTACGCAATCATCAGTTTCTCAAATTTATGTTTTTTTTTATGTATATATAAAGCACGATAAAATAATATTAAACTTTTTTGCATTTCCTATTAGTTGAATACTAAAATTATAGATACAAAATATAAACTATATATATATGAAATAGCTTTTTAAAAAACTAGGGAATTTATTTAAGTATAATTAAATTACCATTGGTTTTTTTCACATTCTTCAATTATTGAGAGCTTATTACAACTTTTAGGGGGTATAAATTTTTAATTTTTAATACTACTATAAAAATTATTTATTTTTGAATATTAACTATAATAATTGAGACATAGACATTGGAAAGGTACCGAATTAAAAAAAAAAAAAAATGTTTGTTTTTATGGAAAATATAATAAATATATATCCTTATAGTCTAGTGGAAAAATTATATTAAACTTAAGTGTAGAAAAAAATTATTTTAAAAACTAAAGACTCATGTCATTAGTCTACATTATTTAGATTAACAGTTTTTCCCTTAACCTTTAAAATTTAATTTTTATAACTTTGTACATTTCCTATGTTATCATCTCAATTATAACCATTTTTTTTTTATGTCAACATTTTATTTTTATTTAATGTCCTTTCAAGCTTAGTGTAATGGATTTACAACTCTATCTAAAAATATAAATAATTTTTTTCTTATTTTAGGAGTTATTTATTCAGAAATTAGCACTAGATGCATTGAGAGGCCAGAGAACACAAAAAAATCTAGAATACAATGATCTTGCTAGGGCTGTAGAAGAAAATGAAAACATGTATTTTTTACGTGGTAAAAATTTATCTTTATATTTTGTTTAAAACATAAATAAGAAAAAAATGTATTAAATAATCCGTCAAGAATATTAATATAAATCTTAATGTTGTTTTATTTTTCTTAAAAAAAAAATTAATTTCAATATAGTTTACTATTTTATTAAATCTAATAAAGAATAAAATCATTTTTAATAAATAATTTAATCCTTGGGCTATTTAAATTTTTTCTAACTATATATCATATGAATCATAATTACTTTATAGAAATTGTGTGTCTAAAAATAATTGCTGTGGTTAAAACTGATAAAATTAATTTTAATTTATAGAATTAAATATAATGAAGCGTACTAAAAAAGTTATGATGGTCATTAACTAAAGTCCATGACTAAATACTTTAATACCCAGATAGTTGTTTCAAGGGCAAATTTGTAAACACTTTTTACCCACATAGCTTTCCCATTATAAATTAATATATACTAGTTGTGTGTAATATATGTAAAAAATATATATCATTCTATTGATTTTTAAATGTACTTATTTTATTTAAATATAAATCAATGTCCATAATATTACAAAAGTATAATGAAAAAGTTTTATTTTTGTTATGTTTTAAAATCAAAATATAATAAAATTATTATTGATCATTAATATTTTAAAATATTTATTTATTTTGTAGAAGTATTACCAAAAAAAATTACTATGGCAGAATACTATAAATTAGTTGGTAAAGAGTCATCTGAAGAGGGCGATGATAATGATAATAGTTCACAAACATCTCATTCTTCTTCATCAACATCACTTTCATCAGAAAACTAATAAATTACTTTAAATAACATTGTATTGTAATATGAAGTGTTCTTTATTATTGTAATATAAAACTGTTTTTTAACTTCATCTATTTACAATATTAAATACAAACTCAATTAATTATTTTTTGTAGTATATTTATTGTCTATTATCTAAATTTTTTTCTCTAAATCTTTTTACAAATATAATTTTTGAATTGTTTTTTACATAATTAATGATTAATTCATTATCAGATTTCATTTTTACCCCTTCACAACTTAACCAGTAAGTTTTCCAGATATTTCGCCAGCTTATAGTTGTCTTCTCTCCCGATCTTTGCAAATGTAGTGACATTTTACGTTCAATACTTTTTTTTAAATCTGAAATTTTTGCTCCTTTTTGTTGAATCTATCAAGAGTTAAATTTTGTAAAAATTAGAATTTAGTTAATAATTTTTCCTCGAGGTAGATACATTTTCTGAAGGAGGATGAAAATTTAATAAGATTTTAATATAATTAAATTTAATGTATGATATATTTTGCCTGACTTTTAAGTAAGCATTTTAATGCCCTGCAGTATGAACATGATTTGCTCCTCACATAATGAATAGCTATAGTAGCAAGTGTTGCTACCATAGACGAAATTTAATTAATACTTTAATTTGATTTAATATGTCGTTAAATATAAATGATTATAATATTTGTGGTTTATTAATCACAATTATGATAATTAAAATTGACATTTTGGGAGGGATCAATACCGATAAGTCATTCATATTTATTTTCCCAGGTCGCCTTATTTAGCGGTCAACAATATAAATTATTGGTTGTGGACACCGTTATGTTAAAAAAAGGATAAACCTTCCCTTAAAAAAATGAAATAAGTTTTAATTGTTATTAAATATAAATATTTTTAGCAAAAGATTTTACATATATTAGTGTCTATCCAATAAGCTTATTGAAAGAGGACTTTTAAAATATCTCCCTCCCCCGAAAAAGTATATCCTAGCTAATTATGGAAATGAATGTTAAAGGAAAAGAGGTAAAGGAAGACCAAAAAAGATATGAAGGAATGTTATTTATTGAATGCAATATGAGGCGGCTGATGTATGTGAAGATTATGTGGGAAATCTAAATAATTTATTGATAATAATTTTGTTCTAGGTTACATAATGAACGAATTAATATACATTTATAAATTTAGTTTTAGACACTTTGAAGGAATCCAAGTTTGTGTAACTTAATTGTAGGAATATCTAGTAGCATAGAAATTTTGTTTGTTTTAAGGGCAAGTGCGCCAGAAAGAATTAAAAAAATTTTTTTTTCAAAATAATACTTACTACTATTGGTACAATAATTCCGTCAAAACGTTCTAAGTAAATTGTTATAGCTTGTCCGTATTGTACAGCTATTTGCAACGCCACTTCATCTAACGTTACATTATTGGGTAAATCACCCAATACGCTATCTGAGTCTAATACCTCATTCAATACTTCAGCCGTGAGATATTTTAATGCTTTATGATTTATTTTTTGAACTTCAACATTATTTAATGTTTGTAAAACTGAATCAAAATTTTCATTACTGCCGGATTCTGAAATTTTTAGACGATAATCAATGAATTTTAATTAATAGTTTTATATTAAGTAATTATATAAGTAGACAATTTAATTAATATAGCTATAGAATGATCAGCAAGAATTATTAGAAATTACACATATGAAGTGTACATAACACGCTCAGCATGAGGGTTACAAGTGAAATTTTAAACAATGATTGACGATTATGCAGGTCCAATGTGACACATTGATAAATTATATAAACTAAAGAGTTTTCTTCGTAAATTAATATTATAAAAACTGACAGTTATTAATTGAATTTAATGCAGTAACTAGAATTAAAATTATTTTTTATTACAGAATGCTATATTTATTTAGCATATATGCACTGTTTTTGTAGCTTATAGCTTTTAATATTATTTTGAAATATTTTTCTACGTGTTTGAGTTAAGGGGTCAAACAAGTAGAAATTTATTTGAAAAAGTATTATAAACATTTCAGGACTCTAAATGAATATTATTATATGTTGCGATTAATAGTCATACTTATTTTAGATTATTTAGAAGTATGCGGTACAAGATTAATAAATCATTTTTTCAATCAACACGAATGGCCTCAACCAAAAATCATTGGAGGATATTCTACTCCATATGGAGCATATCCATGGCAAGTAAGTACATCATTTTTACACCATAAGTTGAGATATAATATATCTGTTACTATTTATTTTATATTCTACTATGTTACATTTTACTAAATATTATTACAATAAACTATTTTTCATATAAAACGAATAAAACAAGAAATTTTATATATATCTTACTTTAAAATTTCGTGGGGTGATGAATACCCCCGTATGAGAGTCAGATAGCTAATATTTAAACTTATATTTAATTCTATTACCACCGAATAATAATTATACTTCATTATTATAATTTTTATTAGTAATTGTTATTAAATGTATAAAAATGTCATCATAGACATATGCGTATAGTTTCTATGTAAATTAAAAATTTTAAGCATATTTAATATATTAATGTATTGTCAGTATAACAAAAATTAAAAAAAGAGATAGCAAACATAAAATTTTGATATAAAAATAATAAGATTATTGTAATATTTAAGTTCTCTTAAAGAGTTTTATGATCTAATAAAATTATATCATATAACTTAACATAAATAAAATAATTTTTATACCAATAAAAATTATTAGTACATATGCTAAATTGTAGTCTCCAGATAGCTGTAGTTAATTGTACATTGACCGTATGTTATTAATTATGAAAATTTTACCTTAAGGCAAACCAAATAAAAGGGATAGTAAAGTAGTTGTAGTTGCAAAAAGCATATCCTATTAGAAGTGGAACAAGATGTAAGTTCCATCTATGTAATTAATTTTTTTATGGATCCAATTTAAATTAACCCCCCAAAATTTTATTTTTAGCCAAGTGTATTTATATGAATTAACCAGTGTTTTTAATGCTAACATAAAAAAAATCTCGTTTCATTTGAAAATGATCAACTATTTATTAAGTTCTTTAAAAAATGATAAAATTAATTAATTTATACATAAAACGGTGAAAAAAGAAGATTTGGCATAAGTAGCTACAAATGATTAAAGCATAAACAATGGATAGGAACTTCAAAAACAAAGCAAGTATCGTTGTAGGTATTTTGCTGAGTTGTTACTATCCATAAAAATCTTCTGGTAAATTATTAAATTTCAAGAAATACTTTCAAATTTTGAACATCTTTTTTTATTTACTTTATATTTAGTATGTACCTATTTTATTTGTCATAGGTATATATGTGATGAATAGTAAAGAAATTGTAATAATTATTCATTCGAAGAATGCACCCAAGTGGAAATAAAATAAAATTTTGGAGGAGATAATGAAATATTTTATTATCTCTCCTCACTCTAAAAATGTCTTTAAACAACAATTCAAATTTTTTGGGGCACCTTAGCTCCACCTTTACTTAATAAAAAATAATTTAATTTTCTTTCTTATTTATATACTAGGTGGAGTTACAAGCTAATATAGGAGGATGGGAACATCACTGTGGAGGAGCACTTGTATCAGAAACAATTGCATTAACAGCTGCTCATTGTTTGAAAAATTTAAAAAAATCACAGTTACGCATTCTTGTAGGAAAACATAATTTATCAAAAAATGATAAACATGAAAAAACATACAAAATCCAAAAAATATTAGTACATCCCGATTTCAGAAAAGGTAAATATCATGATTGGTTTAATTTATTTTATAAATTTAAATATTTCTTTAGAGCCCACTTAATTGAAAGTATGACTTGTTCAATTTTTTGAATAAATTGAACAAGAGTGTCCACATGGAGGGATAATAAACTAACTTACCATAAATCATACATAAAGAGTGACTTTTTTTTAACACTAGCTATTAAATTTATCTTAAAAATAATTATTTTTGGTAATCTTTAGTATCATATATTTCTTGATTGATTATTAATGGCTTTTTTAATTCATCCTCTTATAAGGCTATTAAATTAATTTTTTTAAATCCCTATCTATGAAAAGAATTTTGATTCTTAAATTTAAATCAGACAATATTTTTGTTTGCTAGTAATTTTCAATGGGTTCATCTTGAATTTTAGTATATTATTAGCAAAAAAAAATTATAAAAAGTGTATGAAATTGTAACCAAAGGCAGTTTAAATGAATCTAAGAGTGAAGAGTCCAGAAATCAATATACCAAGTATACTCTGATATTTATACATGTGTTAGAAATATATATTATTTTTGTAGATCCTTTACAGGAAAATGTTAAAAATCAACCTATGATTATTTATCACTTCTCCCCCCTAAAAAAACTCCTTAGAGTCGAGAATTATTTTAACAATAGGATAAATAACATTTTTCTTTTTATAATTAATAATTTTGTTCATCATTTTCCTTTTAAGTACATTTTCTCCATAAGTTAAAGAAAAAAGTTATTTTTTCAAATGCATTAGTTTTGAAATTATCTGTTAAAATAGTAAATATATTTAGAAAATTATTTTTAGTATTTCCTTAGACTGCTTTTGGTTATAATTTCAAATATTTGTCATGATTTTTTTTGTTAATATGCTAAAATTCAAGATGAACCATTTGAAAATTACTAGCAAAAGAAAATATCATCTAACATAAATTTAAGGATCAATATTCATTTTATAGGTAGGCATTTAAAAAAATCTCTTACTACAATTGTGCAAGTATTTTTAATATACAATTAAATAATTTTCATATAAAAAAATTTATACACAGATGGGCCTCATAGCCATGATATTGCAGTACTAAAATTACATTCAGCCAATAGCAAAGGAGTTAGATTTGATTCACATGTTCAACCAATATGTTTACCAGAATACCATACAAATATAAATGAAGCTAACTGGTGCACAGTTACTGGTTGGGGTGCACAAAAACGTATGTATTTATTATTAGAGATTTTCTCTTTTTTCCAATATTTGGAAAAAAAAAGAAAATGTTTTAATTACATTAATTATTAATGTTAATAAACTGAGCTAATTTTTTTTTAGCAGATCTGATTTAAGTGCCTAACGTATATATATAAAATTTTATTTCAGAAGATGATATGACTAGTTTATCAAAAGTATTACAAGCAGCATCTGTACATTTAATTGATCTCGAAACGTGTCGACATGATGATATTTATGGAGGACGTCATCAATTCATATTAGATAGTATGTTATGTGCTGGTAACTTAGAAGGAGGTGTAGATGCTTGTGGAGGTGATTCTGGGGGACCTTTAGCTTGTCAAATAAATGGTAAGATTGAAACAAGTTCTAAAAATTATATGTCATCAATAATTTTTACAGAAATGTGTTTATTTTAGGAAAATTTGTACTAACGGGAGTTGTATCATGGGGTGATGGTTGTGGCAAAAAAAATAGACCAGGTGTATACACAAGAGTTTCATACTATGCAGATTGGCTAAAACAGTCAATATTCGAATTAGAAACCTAATAGAATAAAAATTAAAAAAGTATTTAATTAAGAAAAAAATTGTGAATTTTATTAACATTCATACACATTATGTAAAGGACTAATTAATTAAAATAGTTTCAAATGTAAATATGTAATATAAATATATAAATAAGATTGTTAATATTATAATAAGTCTGTTGATTTAACTTGTATAAAGATAATTCAAGTGCTAGTTATTTTTTAAATTAATAGTGGAACTAAGCAAAACGTGTTTTAATAATTAGGTAAAGTAGATTAGGCAGAACATTAATTTGTTCAAGCCAAGTCAGAAATCAAAGTTCTGTTATTTTTATGTTGGTGTTAATTAATTATTTTCTTTAAATCATTATATAAGTATTTTTAAAGTGAAAAAAAGTAAAATTATAATTTTGGTTTCACAATGAATATAAATTCTTTGAGTAATTATTTATACGAAAGTAATGTATAATAATCAAGGGATAGGCTCACTGTGCTATAAAACAAATCCATTTTGGAGTAAATTATCATCTGAGTTCACAGTTCTCCCTGTGTGTTACTTCATTAATAAATTGATTGGGGTGTCAAAAATTCAAATATTTATCTAAGTCATTCGTAATATTTTTAGAATTTATTGTGGATATCTTTTACTAATATAGGTAATTTAGTAGGTAAAAATTACTCCATGTCCCCCTGATAATTATCTCAAAGATCGCATTTGTGTTCATTAATCATATTTTTATTTAGAATTATTTTTAAGAGTCCTTTTCTTTGATACTTTTAAAAATTTTAATTTGGTGATCAAAATAAAGCTTTAGGTTTTGGATCTATTATTTTATAGCATAGTAGACCAAATTTAACTAAATTATTATTGCAACTAAATAAATTTAAAAGAATTTAAATTTTTTTTGGCAGTAAACATTTGTTTGATGTAATCTTTAAAATCAACTTTCCTAGCTCGTTCAAGTTCATCGGCTCAACCAATAAAAAAGAAATACAAAATATTGAAATGAAAAATTACATTGATACACATACAATGTAACCAGTGCTGGCCATATTAGTGAAACTTGCATGGGGCTATGAAGACTCCACAAAAACATTTGTATATCTCCTCAAATTAATTAATTTTTTTTTTAGTGTAGAAGATTGATAAAACAATTTGAGCTTCTGTTAGGTTATTTATTCAAATTTATGAAGTAGAATATAGGAGTATAGCTTCCAAAAATAGTTTTTTTAAGCTACGTTAATAGCTTGTCAAGAAAAGTTCAAGACTAAAGTTTTTGACTTGTATAATTATGTAATATTAACACTGCATAAATTATTGAGAAAGTATTAAATATTTTTAAAACAAATAAAAACATGAATGAACCTCATAGAATATTAAGATGAGTACACTTATTAGGTATAATATATTTGTTTTATTTCAGCAATTACAACTGTTTATTTTTGTCTTTAATTAGTAATTATAAATACACATTGATTAATAAACATTTTTTAATAAAAAACTATAGAACACGTTAAGAGAAAAAATTTAACCAAAATTAGCTTGTTTGTTTTACATCTTGTTTTACTCTAAGTATATACTTGATACTAATTTTTATTAAACATTTGATGTAATTTAAAAACTAACAATTTTTCAATATAAAATCTATTGATGACACAACTTTTGATCTATTTATCATTTTGATAATAATTTTTTTTAAATATTTATTGTTTTTTTAGATAATGTTAAAAGCATATATTTTTTTATTTTATCATTAATAAAAAAAAAATTTATTTTTTAATTTTCAATTGGCCATTTTTCAACTTTTTTGTTAAATAATGTTGATGAGTGATTACAATTTTAGGACAAGTATTTATTATGTTACAAGAATGTTAAAACATAAAGTGGGTATGGAAGTAAAGACACACGAGTAAAGCTTGCAACAACCCGTGCTACATACCTACTCTATGTATTAAAATGCTTGTAATTTAATGTATACTTGTCTTAATATTGTTATTGCTTTGTAATAATTTTTGGTAAAGAGTTAAAAAAATTATTAAAATTCTTGTAACTTGATAAATACAAGCCCTAAAATTATCACCAACTGATTAAAATTTAAAAAATTAAAAAGACTAAGAAATGGCTACTTTTAAATAATTAAAAAATACATTTTTTGGGTCATATATGAGATTAATTGGGCCGGATGGATTCTACCTAGCAGTTATAGACGTAATATCATTTAAAATTATTATTTGTATGTATAATTTTTCTAGTTTTCACTTTATATTAAAATAACTTTTTGAAAACTGGATAAATAATTACGAAATTTTTATTAATAATACTTCACACATTTGCCTTGTCAATAACATAATTTTTATGATTATCCAATAAAATCGTTAAATAAATACATTAATCAATATACTGTGGGGTTTAAAAATCAAATTTTGATAATGTTTCAAAAATCCTGACTCTTTTAATCCTTAATTAAACTTAAGCTAATACAATGTACTTTACGTTAAAAAGATAATAACTATGAAAAATTAATTTATTTTTTACTATTTATCCTTTAATAAGAAAATAAAACAAGACAGAGTAAAACCAATAGCATTTTAGCTACGCATCAATATTAAAATATGCTTAAAACATAACCTAAGTAGACAAAAATTATTAAAAAAAAAAAAAATTTCAATAGAAGGATAAATGTATTAGAAGTTATAAGCTTTATCAGTTAGCCATAGACATTGTGTATCAATTAACTTTTATATTAAAAGTAAATTGGCGATTGATTACTAAAAATATTGTACTTTATGTTAGTGTTTGAAATATAGTGACATATTAAGTGTTTATGCTAATGAGTCACCTTACAAAGGTTCAAAAATGGAATATAACTTAGGTATCTACAAAAGACGTTCATGATTAAATCACTGAAGAATCTAAATGAATATATTTCAATATAGTCTCAACATTTCTTTATTAACAGACCTTATGTAACTTATATACGTACACACACACACACACACACATATATATGTATATTATAATGTAATTAAATTTTTGTATCTATTTCAATAATGTACTGATAGCTTTATACAAGTAAAATTGATAGGGTAATTAGTATGCAATTAATTCTCAAAAAAAAAAAAACATTAGAAATTGGTAATTTATTTTTATTGTGTTTAAACACATAAATTTAGTTCATTCATAATTTATAATATATCACAATAAAAAATAATAATTTACTTTAACAACTTTAAAGGAGGAAATAAAACATTAAAGTATAATGAATACATTAAGGTGACTAGGCTAAATGTTATTAAATAACTAATAACAATATAAGATCTAATAATAAAGTATTCAAGTTCAAAAGGAAAATTAATTACAAGTCCAATATATAAATACACGCCTTAATAAGATTATAAAAAAATGTAGTCAAATAAAAATGATATACAACTATAAATAAATAAAATATGTTGTTTAACATATTTGTGCTTTATAGGGTTACTGTTTAACTAGTTGGACAAATATATATTTTTTAGTTTATTTTAATTTCAACTAGTTTTTGATTTATTAGATATATTTTGATCATCAAAATCATTATCATCTGAAGTAGCTATTGGTATAGTTTCAGAATTAGACTTTTTTCCTGTTAGCCAGTCAGCCTGCCAAAAACCCAATACACTAACAATAGAAAAAAATAACATTATCACTAACCATACAGAAATGTTAATAATTTCTGTTTGTTGAAATAATTCTTTTCCATTTTTTATACATAGTAATAATTCAGTTATCATTATAACAGTGTAGACCCAACATTGTGTTCCAAGTCTTTTACAATTTGGATCCGTAACATATGTATAATATTGTCGAGTAGATGGAGCAACTACAATGCTTAAAAATAATAATCTGAAGCCAACAATTGGGTGTGATGGTGGCATTTCAAATAAATGTTTTAAGAAAAATGTATTTAATTCAGATACTTGCCACATAATTACCATTTGACATACTGCAAAAATACGCATATATGATGAACTTGGATCAAGCCAACGTACATGTGTCCAACTAGCAGGTGTAAATTGTAAAGCAGCTCTTTTGATTTTACCACCAGTTGAATCAATATCTTTGATGCCAGGCCAATTGTAATTCCTCATTTCTAACATTTTGCAGATTTGCATTCCAACCCATATTCCAAAACCATTACAGAGCAGTACATCTAATACCCAGGCATCCCACCAGCATTCTTTAAAATTTGGTAGCAAATGAGAAAATGTAACTTCTGTTATTTCCCACATTATACTCATTGACCATAAAATTCCATTATGTCTTACTAGAATTGCTTTGATAACCCATCCAAAAAAGTGTGCACCAGCAAATACATCTAAATGTGCCCAAAATTTTTCAATATTTATTTCAGAGCAATTCACACCATATTCTTTATCCATATCAATGTGAAAATCTTTTAAATTTGGATCAAGCCACAAAATCATTCCTTTAATAGTTTCATACTTTTGAAAAAGTAAAAATAACAGAGTTAATGAATAAAGAACGCTAAGGCCAAATACCATACGCCAAACAGCTGGATGTGGCCTTATGAAAGGTCCATTTGGAAATGCTAATAATGATACTATAAGCAAAAAAAATATTACACACCAAATACCAGCCAAAATATTATCATCAACAGATTTATCATCGCGGATGAAGCATATCACTAATACAGCAGCAATAGATAGTATTAAAAGTGAAATAGTATGAGGTTTGTAAAAAAATTCTAGAGTAATGTCCTCCACTTCACATTCGTTGATTGTGTTGAACATGCAATCTTTCTTCCTTTTAATCATTGTATGACTAGTAATTTCTGGCAACAAATGATATCAATAAACTTAGGGGAAATCAAAAGTGCTACATAATTATTTTAACTCTATGGAAAGTCCAATTGAGTGCTTAGAAAAATTATTTTTTGAAAGTATCAAATGATTATAATAAATTAATTTTATGTATTAAGAATTTACTTACCAGTCATATTTTAATAACTTTTTAAAATGAAATTTATGCTATTTATTTAAATTTTTATTAAAACATTTCAACTATAATACAAGTAAACATTCAGCACGTGTTGAAAATCTACTTAATTCTTTGAATGAATGTAGAACTATAAGTGGAGCGATACTTTTATCGATTTACTGATAAGTTTATAAATATTCAAATTTTGAAGGTTAAGTGATAATAGATATTTAATTATTTTAATTTACAGCTAAGTATGTTTATTGAAAGAAATTGGTTCCTTCTTCATTTATCTATTTAAAAGATCTTAAGACATTTAACTCGTTTTTTTGTTCTCTAATGTAAAAGAAAATGTCTTATAATTTCAAGAAAGAAGAAGACGTTAAAGAATATATAAAGAATATAGGAATTGAGTATAGATTTGGTTGTTATAATGAAAAAGATCCACAAAGTAATTTCTATTGATATAATTTTTACAAATGTACAACATATAATACGATGTAAAGTTTAATTCTTATGTTATAATTTTATTTTAGTTTGTCAACTACTTGGTGACTATTTGGAAAGTATAGAAAGTAATCCCGATAAAGCATCTAAAATATTTAAACAAAATTGTGATGAACGAAATTTTGGACGAAGCTGTTATAAATATGCTTCTTATTTAGAAAAACAAAATTCTAAAAATTTAAAACCTATTTTACCCGAAGTAAGAAAAATGTATTACAATTTGCGTTGTTTAGTTTGTAATATACAGAATAAATTTCTTCTTCTTTTTTTTGTTAAATATCTATTTCACAAAAAACAATTTTTTGTATTCATTTTTTTATTTCTAAGTGACAATATTTATTTTTATTTTCATTAATAAATAACTGCTTCAAATTATATTAATTAAATGATGAATATTTTTAACTTGGGTTTTTTTATTCTAAAAGAATTAATATTATGATTATTGATTAATACAAACAAAAATAGAAAGCATAAAGTGTATGATTAGAAAAATTAATGAAAATCTTTTTATAATTCTTGAGAAGTTTAAGTTTTAGTGAAATAGCATATTTATGGATGGGAGAACCCCTATTAACATAAAATCATAGTGCAAGGATAGTGGAAGTTTAAATATCTTCACTACTAAAAGCTAAGTTCTAAAAGCTATTTGGACTCCCCCATATAAAATTTCTAATTGTGTCACTTTGTTTGACATAGGTTATGTAATAAAGTCTACCTGCAAGAAATTTTTAATGAATAAATATTTTCATATTAGTGAATTTTTAACATTTTTGACTTTGATTATATTAAATTTACCTTAAAATTACATCATAAATTCATTATATTTTTTTTGAAATTATAATGTTCATGAATCAAACTTGCTCTTAATTTTTATTTCTATTTATTTAATATTTTAGCTTAATGGGAAGCCGAGAAGGTATTGTTTTTATGGTAAATTTTTTTCTTTAAAATATAGATGATCAAGTATTTAAAAAAAGGTTGTGATAATGATTCATCTGATGGCTGTTTTGCTGCTGGCATGAAGTTAAATTACCATAGCCATCTAATTAATGACATTGATGAAAAAACAAAAAGTTTACAAGAAGCAAGTTGTACTTAAAGTAAATTAATTAATAAGTAAAAAATATTGTTTTGGTTTTTTTAGGGTTTACAATATTTAGAAAGAGCTTGTAATAACCGTCACGCAGAAGCTTGTTATGTAGCTAGCAGTATTCATTTTAATGGAATTGAAGAAATTGGTTTAAAGCCTAACAAATCAAAGTTCTTAGAATACTCAATAAAAGCTTGCGAGCAAAATGATATAAGAGCATGTGTGAATGTATCAATTGTTTATAAAAAGGGCGATGGTGTACCAGTTGATTTAGAATTAGCTCAACAGTTTAAAGATAAAGCTTTAGATATTAGAAAGCAGATAATAGAAGAAAAAGGTGTACAATTTAATAGTTAATCAAAAAGTTTTATAGATCATAGCAATATATTATAAAATTTATTATACAATAGAGATTTTAGTCATAGGTAATGACATACATTTGTTGATTATTATCAATTTAAATGATACATTTTACTTATTAATTCTTGACCAAAACTAGGATTAGTAAAATTGTCCTAGCATTACATAAATCAAATTTATAATTTTCTAAAACATATTCATAACTCCTAGTTTCACCATGCAGTAATTATTCAAGGGGTGTCACAATATGTATGATTTGATGGCCATTTTTCTTTTTGAATTATTTAATAACATGCTTCCCTTTGAGTGTAATAAAATGTAGTAGATAATAATAATAATAACAGTGATTCACTAAGCATAGGACACTCATTTTCTTAGAAACTATGGAACATTTTAAATTTTTATAAGGGAATATATTGTTTAATTCAATAAATTTTACAGTAATATATAATTAAATACCTTTTTTCATCCCTACAGAGAAAAAACTGATAATTTTATTTTCTTTGATTGAAATCTGTCTTTAGTTTGATTATATTATTGGAAAAAATTTTCAAACTATGTGTTCTTAATTATTAAATATAACAAATGATAAAGACTATATACTTATAGTGGATATTATTTTTGATAAAAAACGCCAATACACCGTTATTTTCTTCATCAATAAAATACATTTTTATTGTTGAAAATTTAATATGTCTAAATAATATAATAATACAATTCTTTGTTTGATTTTCATTATTAAGATAAGAATATTTTTATATTATTAAAATATTCTATATTTATTATAGAAAAATCTATAAAATAAAATATATCTTATATTTTGTTTTATATTCTATTGTCTCAATTTTTTTTAAAATAGTAACTTTTTGTAAATTTTTTTGACTTTTATTAAGTTATATATGCATTTCCATTTATATATTTTAAAATATTTTTTATGTTTATCGTTCATCTTAAAGGAATGTCATTTTTATTTTTTTAAACGGAAACGTATATATTTAACCAGCTTATAAAATAGAAAATGACTGATCAACATTTAGACCAGTATTTCAGAAGTTATTGAAATTTTTACATCTAGGCAAGATGTCTAGTGATAAAAATAGCAGCATCCAATCCTCACCTCAATTACTTAAAATTTTTAACAATTTCCTCTAATAGCTCACTTTTACAAAAAAACACATTCCAGGAGATCCGCGAAGACAACTTAATTGGACTAGAGATCTAAATTAAAAAAAAAAAATGTTGTATTAAATCTTTTTCTCAGCTAGAAGGTATTATATTAGGCAACTGTCTGCATTCATACCTATCATAATCAACTAAACTCTTAGTTCTTATATTTATTGATCTAATTTGTAACATATTGTATATTGCTAAAATTTTTTTAAAAATTATATTTTATTTTTAAAACCAAATCTAACCAGATAAATTTTCTTTTATCTTTTAATATTATATTTATAACAATTATTACATAATTATAAGAAAAAATACCTGATTATTTGTGATTTAGTAATACTGATTAGTAAACTCTTATAGTAAAAGAAAAATGTTAACAATGGTAATCAACTTCAATTTGTCTAATCCATAATAATGACTTTTATTAAGTCAACAAAAATTAACTAGAAATTATATACAAAATAAAAAAATTGTAAAGAATATATATAAAGAACTATGCATAATCGTTAACTGTTACAATTGTCAAGATTATGATAGGTAAATTATAATAACAAAAGCTATGAATGAAAGCAATCATCTTTTACATTTCCTTCTACTAATTATATTAGGTCGTAGAGAGGACTGCTCAATTTCAGCTGATTTGATTTTTTCATCAAATTCTTTACAAATATCATTAAACATTTCACCATTTTTTGTTGCCATCATCACTATGTGTTTTTCAAATGCTTGAGGCACTAATTTCTTCAAAATATCTAAATTTTCTCTAGTTACATCACCACGGTCAAGACCTAAGGTAAAACCCATTGATTTTAGTAATTCTGTATCATCAACAACACTAAATTTGTCATTGAAGCTTAAACCATATTGTTTCTGATCTTCTGAAATTTCTACTTCAACATTGGTATCCTCATTTGAACTAATAGCCATAAAAGGAAGATTTACACATGTATTTCTAGGAGGTGGTCCAAATTCTTTTTCCATGATTTTATTACGTTGAACTAAACGTTTGATTGCAACTTCTTGCATAATTATCTCTTGCAAAGCTAAAAGTTTTCTTTTCACACTGTTCAAACGATTTTCTTTTTCTTGAACTAGATAAACACTATTTTGAATAGAACCAGTAGGTAAACCTTTCCAAGTTATATCTTTTTTGTTCTTTGCTATAATATCTAGGGCCATCAAAACATTTAATGCATCATAAACTCGACGTCTTATGTTTTTTTGGTCATATAAAAATGTAGGGCTTTCACTGTCGCCTACACATTCAGCAACTAACTCATCAGCAACTTCTTTGTATGTAGTAACCATTTTGGTTTTAACCTTATCACACACTCTTTTAGAAAAATGTCTTAAACCTTTATTGGCTTTAATAGGTCGGACTTTAAATGGACTTTTTTCATTTGAGTATGTAGAACGAAATTCACTTTGACTAAGTTGCATAGGAAGATATGAAATCTTGGTAGATTCTAAAAGTTTTTTAGTTGTTTTAGTAATACGACCTTCCAACAAATCATTTAAAATATCTGTTCGTACAACAACATCAGAAGAATTTAAATCATTACGACTTGTAATTTTATCAGGTTTATTAACTACACAAGTATCATCCATATAATCTAAATCACTATCATTTGGTTGGTCAAAATCATCACCACACACTACAATAATTTCAGGATCTTCCTGATACTTATGGTGAACATCTAAATAATCATCACTGGAATCTGAAAAATTGTCTTTTTTACATTCAGAAGAAGAGTCTTCCAAAAAGTCAGGTGACACAGTAATTATTTCTGTGTTTTCTTTTATATCAGCCATTCGTACAATTTTTCTTATAGGTTTCTGTTGGTTTTTTTGTATAAGATCTTTAACATCAGGTGTTCCTCTACCTCCATTAACAACAATACAATTTCCTGTTGGTAACTGAATTACTTGAGAATTTCCACAAGGATCTTTAACAATGAAATTTACAGTTTCAGACATGACTTGAAATTAATTATAGGTAAAACCTAAAAATAGAATGGTATTATTATAATTTAATAAATAAAACAAAAAATATGTTTTTTTACTATCTATAATACTCATTTTAGAAATATTGAACAAATGTGATATAAAAGAACAAAAATTAAAGATGAAAATATAACATTTAATTAAATGAAATAAAATTAAGTTAACTTTAATAGAACTTTTAGAATAATTTTAAAGACTTATTATAATACATAAATTACATCTAAAAATTGTAATTTGAGTCTAAACTACAACTAATGCTTAAATTTATAACTCTTGCAATTAAAAATTTTTTTTTTTACTAAAAATGATTTATGACTTGGATATGTTGATTTTTTTGTAAGATAAAACAATTATTTTTTCATAAAAACCAATTTGAGAAAAACAATTTTTTCATGGTAATAATTTTAATTCTATAAATATTATTCTATTTACTTAAAAAATATTTAATATCAATAAAATCTTTGCCATTAAGTTTTAACTATAATAAAACATTATATTATAATTTAAAATCATAATACATTGATTTATTTTAGTCATTTTACTCATTACTTACCAATTCATTTTTATTATGAAATAGTCTGGTAAATAAAATGTATAAGAATTAACATTTAACTATTAACCCTCTATAATATAAAATTTAAGACTTATAATTGAAATGAGTACATGAAGCCAAAATTTAAAGTAGATGATCCTCACATAATTTACATACCTGAATGCGAAATGAAGGTTAGAAGGCATGACCTATTATATTAAATACCATAGGCAGCATTTATAGACCCTCATATAGTTTAAAAAAGGTTTATAGGAAAAATGTTTCACAGCAGTCCAAATCCAGGCGGCGAATTTTAAGAACGTGCAAACAAATTTCCTCGCATTTCATGGAACAGTCAAAACGTATTATCACTATGTTCCGTTATCATTATAGTATTGTTAGGCTGTTGTTTTTGAAACAACGTGCCCCGCCCAGCCTATGAGCGCACAAACGTACAATAACGGCGGCGGCGGCAATTGGCAAACGAAACGCCGTCAGCCACATAAAACTAAATCTAAAATGGCCGACTGTTCTTAGTATTGTATGATACTTAGTTTTTAAGTGTGTTGTTAGACTTTTGCAACTTTTCCTTTTCTTGAGGCAATTGTTGTGACAATAACAATTTAAGTAAGTATAAGCTTTCTTAAAAACTTGTTATCGTAGGCCGCTTATGTTTTGGTTGGTATGGGGTCACACAACGGCCAACACTGGGACGACAATACTGTAGGGAATATTTTTTCATATTGGCAACTTTGGTTTGAAGAATACAGGTTGTCCATTTTTTGTTGGTCTTCTTCAATGCTAACATTCATAAATTTTCGTCGGTGATTTTAATCTCATTTGCAAGAATTCCGCATCTCAAATTTTTATCCCTTAATTACTGCTGAATATAAATTGTAGTAACAATTATTATGTTATTCCCGTTAGGAAAATATTGCTTTGTACTATTGTAATTTTCAATATTTGTTTCTATTATAACTAATTATTATTAGCACATTCAGATCGTTTTAACATTTTATTTATTGGAAAGATTAAAACAGAATTTTGATTTTATTTTAAATAAATCTTACAATGAACTTCTTAAAAATTATTTTTGTTGGTGAAACTTAATTTAGATAATAATGCTTGTTAAATTCCCGTGCTAGGCGTAATATGTGAATTAATAATTTATTGAAAATTTAAAAATATAATAGCATATTAAATTCCATTAATTTTTAACAGAACTAATTAATTACGTGAAATAATTAAATTTATTTTACATTCTTAAATTAATATAATTTAGTTGTCTAATTAATCTTTAAATGTTTTAAAACATTTTATACATTTTATATCTTTGTTTTGTTTGGGGATAAATTAAACGATTATAGTACTTATTATTTTTAATTTAACTAAAAAAAACAAATGTATATTATGATTATTTATATAAATGAAATCCTAAATAGGCATTATTATGTATTGAATTTGTTATATTAGCTTATTGTGTGAAAGTAAATAAACCAATGGACTTCAGCGACTATGAAACCTAGTTAATTGTCTAAAGCTAATTTAATAAATTTCTTTTGTTGCTAAATTTAGTTTTATTAGATTAGTTATAATATCACTTATACAATTTATAAAGACTTTAAATTAGTTTACTAGTTAAGTCTGTCTACTCTTTAGGTTCAGATATGTTGAGAATTATTATAATTATTAGTATGTGATTAAAATTTAAGCCCAACAAAAATGGATCTGTATTGAGAGTTTATAAAAAGTATATTTAAATTTACAATTTTTTATACTTGAAGTAATTAAATTTTTTAAAGAAATAGCTATCTAACCTAAAGTAACATAGTCTATTACCACATAATTTCTTTTAAATTTCTTGTATACTTTTTTTTTGTAAACTTATTGCTTGTGGTTTAGTATAATTATCTTCATATAAATACTTTGGAGTCAAATTAAATAATATCTTAAATTGGTTTGATTGTTGGAGACCCTGCCCTACTCCATAATCTTATGAGTTACCATGAATTCTTCTAATCTTGGTGAGCCTATCAAATTATGTATTTAGGTCATATTCCTTTTATTTAATCATTATTTTCGATTCTTATTGAAGAATAGTTTTTTGACATAATTTGTTATATGACATATTTCTAGAAATTAATACTGATATTAACTTTATATTATTATAATTGTGTTAAGGCTTCATATGAAGTTTTGTATTATATCATAAAAATTTTAAATAAATTTAGAATATTAAAAGTTGTAAAAAAATAAATATAAAGATTTATATTTATATATTAGTTTTATCCTAACGTTTCAATTTGTTGATAATTTGATTTTTGAAGTGATAGTTACATTTCTGAGCATGAACTCTACAATCAGTTCAAAATGTCTTTATTAAATTATAGATACAGAAACATCTGTCATTATTCTAAATAATTATATAATATTAATAATGTTTAAAAGTTAAAATGTAAAGAATTAATAAATTTTATTATGCACTCAACATATTTTAAGCTAGATTTTTCTATTTATTCTTTTATTTAATACACTTATTCATGTTAAATTGTTATTTTATGTAAGTAATAAAAGTTAATAGAATTTGATTTTAGAATAAAAAAAATCCATAACAATAATATGGCTGCTGACCTTGATCAAGAAAAATCATCAAATTCAACTTCAAATACATGCTTAATTTGTGATGGTAGTACTGGTGTGTCAGCTCGAAATGCTATATCAATATTTCAACATCGTGTGACATCTTCAGATCGTACTGTTGTTAAAGTTATAGATGGTGTTCTTGGTGTAACACTGTCATCCGATGATGTTCATTCCATTGTAGTTTGTCGAAGATGTTTTAAATCTTTAAATGAAGTCGATGAACTTGAAGATAGGCTTGCAGATATTAAACTAGAACTTACCACTCAATATCAACGAACTCTCAAGTAATTAGATTAGTAATATTTATAACAAATAAATTATAAATTTAAGGCTACATTATAATTTATTTTTAGGAGTAAATCAGAAGGTGTAGATGTTCAAACTATTGAAACAATAGATGTTGAACAAGAAGTTGATACTCCTAAACCTGTTAAAAAACGTGGTCGACGTCCCAAAATTAAAGAAGAATCTGTTGATGTATCTGTTACTAACCCTGATTCTGTTCCAGATGAAATTATTAGCTCAAATTTAGAAAAACATAAAAATTCTTCTGTAGAAAATTTAATAGAAATGTTAGAGGATGACGATAAGAATAATGAGGAATCACCAAGTAATGGCTTAGAGGAAGATAGTTCTCAAAAAATGATATCACCTAGAGATATTAAACAAGAAGCTATTCATTCAGAGTTAGAAAACCTTGATGACGAAGAGCTAGATAATGAGTTACTTGATGAAGAGGACTCTGATTATGAAGAAAATGGAGAAAACAAAAATAGTAGCTCAACTAGTCCAAAAAAACCTAAAATATCTAAAAATGCAATAAAAAAAAAAGCTCCTGAAATTCTTATACCACAAATGGTATGTAAATACAGATTTTTTAATTTGTGGTACATAAAACATTCATTAATATTTTAATATTATTTAATAATTTACCAATCTATTTGTTTTATGTAACTGCCCAAAGTGCAAACCTTTATTATTGTGTTATATTTTTTTATTTTAAAAGTTTTGGATTATTTTAACTTCTTTAAAAATTTTTTATAAATTAGTTGGTACATCATGATGGGGAAGTTTACACGTGTTTGTTGTGTAGTGTTGAAAACAAATTTACTGCTGATGCAAGAGGTATTGTTGTGCACGCAAAAAATGTTCATCAAATTAAGCTTTTCATTTGTGATATTTGTGGACAAGAATTTTTAAAGAGGTAATTTTAAATTTAAATATATATTTTCTTTAATTTGTCAAATATGTAGGAAAACTTAGTTTGTCAATTTTATCAAGAGAAGTGAAATAATGAAATGAATCAATTAAAATTTTTAGGGGTGTAAATCAATTTTTAAATAATTGAGTTTGGCCTAAATAAATACTTGAGACATAATATTTTCTCTTTTATTAATGAAAGGAATAAAATTATATTATAAATTAATATTACTATATTTTCAAAATCTATAATAATATTATTTTGTATTGAATTAAAATATTTCAAATAGCTCTCTTGAAAAATTAAAAAATAAACTTAAACCACTTTTACTCTAACTCCTACATATTTAAATTTTATGATGTAATAGAAAAGAGTGTAATGTTTTATTTTATGATACTAATATGTATGAAAGAAATTGTGAGTTTGATGTTATACGATGTTTGATGTTATAAGTGTAATAATTACAATTTAATTAATTAGTATAAAAAATAACTGGGTTTTTCAGAAAAAAAAACTTGATAAAACTACCTGGGAAATATTTTGATCCAAAATCATTGAATTATGGGGTATTTTCTAACCCTGATAAATTTACAATAAAACATTAATTTTTAAAGTGTGTTATAATTAGGTTGCTTATTGTTATATATTTTGGGTAAAAAAATAATTATAGTATATATTTCAAATTTTTCTTTTAAAATTATTTTAAATTTAACTTACAGACCTGAATTAATGAAACATTTAGAGCATCATGCAAATAGTGAAGATGGCAATTTTGTTTGTGATATATGCAGTAGAGTTTTTACGAATGTACGCATGTTTAGGGTACACAAAAAAATGCATATGCCTCAATCAAAAAACCATACATGTGAAACATGTGGACGACAATTTGCGTATGTATTTAATGTTGATATATATATTGATATTTTCTGCTTAAGAGACTTAGGATTTGGGAATAGATAAGGGCACTAAGTAACTTAGAGGAAAGGTCTTCCTCAGAAAGTAGGAGACCTGGAATTGATTTCCATTTTATTGACATACTTTTTCCTCAGTTTCTAACAATATTATTTACATAATGTAATATATACAAAATTTTATTTTACTTTAGCTCTCGTAACACATTAGAAGAGCATAATAATACTCATACTGGTGTTCGTCCTTACCGTTGTGAGATATGTGGTAAAGACTTTACTTCAAAATATACTTTCAAAGCTCATGAAAAGGTTCATACTAATCGTGAACGAAATTTTACCTGTATCAATTGTGGAAAAGCCTTTCTTACTGAACAAAATCTTATTCATCATGAAAGAACACATTCTGGACTTAAAAATTATGTATGTCAAAAATGTGGTAAAGCATTTGGAACTGCACGAAATTTAGAAGTTCATTATGTAGTACACACTGGCTACAAACCATTTATTTGTCGGATGTGTGGCAAAGCTTTTGCTAGGAAAGCAGAAATAAGAGACCATGAACGTATTCATACAGGAGAAAAGCCATACCAGTGTGAATTTTGTGGTGCTACTTTTAGGTAAAATTATATGGTATAATTAATGTAATAAAGAATTTTTAAAATAACTTTATTTGATATATTTAGTCAAAGAAGTAACTTGCAATCTCATAAACGTGCTACACATTATGATGACAAACGTTATAAATGTACAGATTGTGGAAAAGGATTTAAAAGACGTCGTTTACTTGACTATCACATGAAAGCTGCTCATACTGGTGAACGTCCATTCAAATGTGAAGTTTGTCAAGCTTCATTTATCTATCCTGAACATTTTAAAAAACATGCTCGTATTCACACTGGTGAAAAGCCTTACTTATGTGAAGTAATTATTTTCAAAAAATTACTATTAATGTTAAATTTTTTCAATAAATTTGTTTTTTTATTAAGGTCTGTGGTAAAGCATTTAACAGTAGAGATAATAGAAATGCACATCGTTTTGTACATAGTGATAAAAAACCATATGAGTGTTTGGTTTGCGGTGCAGGATTTATGCGTAAACCATTGTTGTACAACCACATGACTCAAGCTGGCCATTTAAATGATACTATTGTTGTAAATCAGCCTCGATTAGCATCTAGTCCAGTTACTATACAAGAAATTCAAGAAGATATACAAATGCCTAATAATGATTCTGATATGGAATTAGCAATGGTTGTTGATTCAGATGGAAATCAAACAGCCTTGGTAATTTATATGACAATTTTTTTATTTTTTGTTACATATTAAATTTCAGTTTGTTAATATAGTGTAAATAACTTCAACTTTTTTTATCAAACAAAAATATATAATTAAAATATTTTTCTTTAAGCGTGATATGACTGAAGAAGAAAGAAAAATGTTTGCTGGAGAATTGAAAGAGCACATGCTAATACCTAGCAAACAAGAGGATCTGAACAATGATTTAAATACTGTTGAACAAATACTAGTTGATAATAAGTATCAAGTAATCTCACTAATTTTAAATTTATCATAATAATATAGTATTTTCATTTTATTAAATTATTTGTTTTTTCCTTTATAGATTCAATATACTACTACTGATCAACATGGTGATGTGCATACTATGTTAAATATGGATCATCATACTGATGATACTGAAGTTGTAGATGTTGGACATATGGAAACTGTTACAGTTAGTGTTGGTGGTCAAGAACACCGTCAATTAATAGTACCAGCTACCCGTCATATAACATTAAATGAGAGTGATGCTGCCGCATTTGAACATGCAACCATAAATGGAGAAAATGTACAAATTGTACAGATACAAATACAAGATGAAGATGGTGAAGATCAAAAACATTGGTTTAATATCATTCAACCACAACAAGGATAATTTTTTTTAGTATATCATCCTTTTTGATATGTTATCACATGTGCATTGACCAATTTAATTTATTTTTACTTAAAACAATTTCATGTGCTTGACCTAAAATAATTTTACTTTTTAAGAAAAATTACTAAAGTAGGTTAATAATGAACATTATATCATCCATAATTATTAGTTTTGTCATTATTTTATAAGGTATATTTTAGACTACAAACATATTTTTTACAAATGATTCATCTTATACTATAAATAAACAATTTTATAAAGTGCATCCTAATTTAAATATTATTTCATTGAAATAATTTTAATTTTATGCCAATGGAGCTACACACCATTAGCTCCATTACCAGAATTCTTAATGTTGACATTAAAAATGGTATTCATTCATATTTTTATGATATGATAATTATAATGTTGAAAACAAATTTACTTAAGTTTGCTTAGTTCTTGACCATTAATTTATTTAAATTTTAGGTTTATAAAATATTAAATGTCCTATGATTTATCGCATGTCAAAATTGTATTTATTTATTTTATTGATTATATTCTTTTTTCATAATTAATTAATCAGTAATAGGTGTTAAATTTATTAATTTATTTTAAATGTATTAAAGTTTAAATGTGCTGAAATATAATGCTTAATTTAATAATTAATCATTTATCAGTGTTTTCATAAATGTTTGACCAGAATCTTTATTGACTTATCAATTATATATTTTTTTTAAATAAGAATCAAATGAGAAATAATTTTAGCTTCAAAGCTGAGAAGGTATTAATTGTACTATGATGTGTTTATTTTTATTTTATGTGTCTGTTACTACTTTTTCTCAGCTCCGACTAGACCGATTTTTCTCAACAATATGTCAAAAGATCACAAATCGTATCATATAATTGAAGACATTGCCTTTAAAAATTGAAAAAAAATCTTTCGTTCGTTGTAAATGAGAGAAATCCCCCAAAAAATTATGATTTTTAAAATCTGTAAATTCAACATTTTTTCTTAAAACTGTCATAACTTTTTGAAAAATAATCAATTCAAAATAATTTATAGAAGATAAGTCGTCCAGAAATTTTTTTTTTTTTGAATTTATAGTACGTAACATTTGACCTCTGAACTTGTCTTCATGATGATATTGACTGCCGTATTCAAAAATAGCATATTTTTGTGTTAAAATTTTGGGTTTTGTATTTTGTTTTAAAATACCAGACTAATTACAGGAATGTAAAAAATAGTTTTATATAAATAAATTGTTTTATATTTTAAAATATTAAAAGTGCTGAATAGTATAAGTAGAAAATAAGTTATGGATCGACGGTGGACTGTACAAGGCTGGCAATTGTCGCGTAGCCGTCGGTTTGCCGTGTTGGTTGGTGAGGTGGATAGGTAAAATAAGACGCTGGAATCAGTTGTCACGCATTATGATGTATTCAAAGGTGTTTGTGATAACTGGTCCATTAGGTCTGTTAAAGGCGCTCTCTACCAAACAAATTATATACAGTAGATAGACTAGGTCGCTATCTTGGGAAGACAGCAGCAAAGATATGTATTTGTTCTGAGTAGTGGTAGTTAAAGCGTACTTGAAATGTATTTTCTTTCAGATAAATCTGGAAATAATTTTTTTTTTTAGAGAGTTATATAATTTTGAATGTTACGTTAGTCGGAGTAGTAAGTTTGGCAGGAAACGCCATAGGAAGTGGAGACTTAAACTGATTTATTAACCGAACTTGCTATGGTGGTGTAGAAACGAAATGAGAACGAAACACTTCCGATAATGATCTGCAAATAAACATTCTTTTTCTTGATTAGCTCTTACGAGTGTAATATTCTTTTGTTACTTAATTAAATTCATACGTCTCATCGGCGATTGCCAGTGACATGCCGACGCCGCTGAGGCGTGTAATAGTTTAATTTTGTTTGCATGGTCTTTACCGAAAAAGCCATAAATAAGTTCATACAGTTTCACGTATGGATTAGAAATATACAACATATTACTTTTCATTGTTTGTTTACATATCCTAAACAAACAATGACACAATACAAATCACTTCTCGTACCGCGTTGTAAAGGACACCTTTCTTTTCAATTAAATGACATATCATCACATAAAATTTTATTACTATGATTATTGTAACAGACCTAAGAGCCCTCTGGGATCTGATCAGCCCTTTGACAATCCGTCAAAGAGCCACTTCTATTTTTTCTCCTCTAGCGTTCAGACCTAAGTACTCAGCTTTGTTTCTTTTTACTTTGTAGCTTTTTATCTGTTTTATATTGTGACTTGGTGTCTTCATTCTTACTATAGTTCAATAGTTTAACTTAAGATAAATTCATGTTTGAATAATTATCTAAATCAATTACAATATATGCTTATATAACAAATTATTTTTCTTCTTATTTAATATCTAATAAGTCTAAATCACTTCTTCTCCTCTCTACATCGTAGAACAAGATTTGGGGCCAAGATATATCAGATAAGAGTATTTTTAAGACACTAACTACAATTAATAGTAATAATTAGAAACAAAGTACTTTTATTTATGATATCTTTACGGATGATGCCATTGTCATTCTTCTTTATTAATACCATCCCTATCTACTTTATTTTAAGTTATTACAATTCAGTGAATTGATAAAGCGGTGTAAGGGACGAGAGAATTTTTTATGTTTAAGTAGAGATTTAGTTCATTAATAAGGATTATTTTATAAATATTTACCGTTGAACAATTTATAAGAATCCTAATTCTAATTTAGAACTTATATGAATTGTTTTAGGATTTCTAAAACGTATTAAGAATAGATTATAAGAATATTTCTTAAAAATTTGCACGGGCGCGGCTTGTCTCGCATCATTCTTAAAGAAAAAAAACAATCAAATTACAATAAAACAAATAATTTAAAAAGTGTCGTCCATTTATTTATTATCAAATTATATAAATAAACATTTTTGTGGATAATGCACCTTTTTATCATGTATCTATCTGAGGTTGTTACGGAAGTGCTTAGAATAGGGCTAGGTGGGGTAAATACGTTATTCAAAAAAAGTTTATCTTTTCATCTTATAATATATCTTAGATTCATTATTAACACTTACAGTTTAGATAATTGTTATAGGTACTATTTTTTTCTCGGCTCATAATCAGTCTATAATTTATATTAAAAACGAAATTGGCTAGATATTAATTATATGTTGTACATAATTTTAATTTTAAAATTAAATGAAATATTTTTACAATTTTTAATTACATAATAAAACACAAATTAAAAATTGTGAAATGTTAATATTCCTAAATAATTTATGTTTTATATTTTACGATTTATACGATTTGTATTTTAATTGTAATACTTGATTTTTAAAGTGTACATAAAGTAAGCAATACAGTATTGCTAAAAATAATACAATGGTCATCGTAGTAACCAGAACTGTTAATTGATGTCGTGTACACCAACATTGTTTTGATTTTTTGAAATTTGAAAGCTCACTTATTCCGTTAATAATAGTAAAGTTAGTTGAAGATACTGTTGATGATGTTTCCAAATCCTTACATTGTCTGTGAGAAACATTTTCTCTATTTAGATCATCAAAACACTCTGACAATGTTGAACTTTGTGAAGCTTTACTCTAAAAAAAAAAAATTTGATTATATTTTTAACACAGTAGTTGCAATTTAAATAATTAAAAATTATTTACAAATAAAAATGGATATAAAAGATTATAAACTATTTGGCGAAATAGAGCCTTATATACCTCTAGTTAAATAACCATTAACCAATGATTAATTAGGTTATGAAACAGTGGCGTGGCCAGGAGTGGCTGAGGGTACTGCAGCTTCCTGAAATTTTAGGATTTTTTAAAATTATTACTGTATTTTATAAAAATAAATGTTTAAGACCTTAATTGTGTTAAATTAATTTTGGAACTGTTATTGTTTTTTTTTGTTAGTCGAACTTATTTTTTCGATTAGTCTAAATTTAATATTATTTATTAATATAATAATGTTTGATATCCAGAAAACAATTTTTAAATATTAATATTCTCGTAATATAAAAATATTCAAGATGATATTAACGTTGACTACTAAATTTTTTCTAAAATAGTAATTTTAAGAATTTTTTTGGCTTATTTAAGTACTATTTATTTCTTGATTTTTGAGTAGTTAAATATTTTTTGTGTTTAACCCTTATAATCATTTATAGGGATACAAACTTTATTTTTTTAAATGTCAACATACATAATTAAGTAGTTTATACATTAAAAATTATTTTTGAAAATAAATTTTCAACTAAATTTTTTAAATATTTTTATAGTGAGTGGGAGGAGTAGCGCGGCTGAGTGACACGTCATGATAAAAGTAACACAACTCATACTTTATCTCCTGTTTATATTTAATAAATATAGTTTTAAAAAACTAATAAAACACGCTTTTAAGTGTTTTATTACTTATTACTTATTAAAGTGTCGGGCGCTCAATATACGAAAAATATGGCACAAAGCACCCACGATTTTATCAAAATAATACTAGTATTTTTTGTTCATAATTATTTTAAACTTTTTAGTTCGATGTGCTTTAAAAGCGTGTTTTATTAGTTTTTTTAAACTATATTTATTTTTCATTTTTTAGTTTTATGTTATGATAGTAGTTACTATCAATATCATGGTTGTAACGGGTAACGGGAAATCAAGGTTTNTTTACTAAGAAAAAATTTTTATTTCTTTTTTTTTTTAATTTTAATAATTTTTTACACACAAAAAAATGCAAATACTTATTTTACATTGTTTTTTAAAGAGTTTAACTCAAAATTACGCAATATTACGATTACACCAATACATGCATGTTGTAGAAGAACTCTTAAGCTACAATTACAAAAAAAAAAATTTTGCGTCAGATTGCATTTGAGCCCTGCACATAGAATTTCCCTATAATAAACGTGTATTTTTGTAAAAATTGTAATTTTAATAATTTCATTGGTTTTATCAGTTCGATCAACTTTATCAGCTTAAAAGTTGTAAAAATTAGATGTAATTAAAACTAATGATTCGTTAAAATTAAGTTTAAATAAAGTTACAAACAATGAGAACAATAGATACCCGTTTCCTGACTTACTGAACACTCTGTATACGTAAGCCGTATGACACGCGGATGGTATTGGTCAGTCAAAATAAAAATTTGTTTATATATGTATATATAATATTAATGACAAGCACGTGCGTACGGGTAAGATAACTAAAAATACATTTTTATAGGAATAGTGTGCCGACGTGTGATGAGCGAGGCGTGGGGTGGGTTGAATAATAACAATTCTTTTACTTTTTTACAAATAACATTTTGTTGCTTGAAGTGCTTGAGGATATATCCATGTTTGCAGTTGAGTTCTGACGTTTCGGACTCATTGCAGAGTCCATCTTCAGAGTGATGATTGCTAGTCGGTGGCTGTAACTATACTGGCGGCTTATCTTGATAACAGTGTGCTTTTATAAAATTGATAACATCTGGTTATTGACTAACGTTGTTTGCCGTATCAGGGTTTTTGACTTATGTTGCTGACCGTTTCGGGGTTTTAACTAATGTCGTTGACAACATTTCGATTTTTGACTAACGTTGTTTACGGCATTCTTGACATTTCGGTCTTCCTTTCCTACACCGGCAATTATTTGTTATGTTGATTGTAGCCTCTTCGTATATTGAATTATTTTCGGTGTTATTGGTTGATTTCCTTTTTGTCTGGTGTATGATAGGTAACCAAGTTTTGCTGATTTTCCATCCATCTTCTCTGTTAAAATTTTCCGGACATTCTTCGATTTCGATTGCTTCCTTGTACATCCGTTTGCCAAAATGAGTTTCTTTGTTAAGTATTTTTACTTTATCGAATTGTATGTCATGTCTTCTGTTTTTGGCATGTTCAGCTACAGCAGATTTTTCTGTTCTTTGGTACATCTTTGGAAGATGGACTCTGCAATGAGTCCGAGACGTCAGAACTCAACTGTAAACATGGATATATCCTCAAGCACTTCAAGTAACAAGACAATCCATGATAGTTTTAACTAATTCAAAATAACATTTTTTTAAAAGTAAAAAAAATTTAGGATGCTATAGAAATTTACAAATATTTAAAAAAATCTTTAAAAGTACTCAAAATTTAAGGAAGAAATTGATATACGAAGATAAAATAATATTAATCTATTTTTGTTAAAAATTAAAGTCATTATATATTAAGTCTTCGCTTTTGCATTCATATTATTATTTACTATTTGATTATACAACTCATTTAATTACTTTCAAAATAATTACGATATTGAGAAAAAATTTTTTTTTAGTCACATAAAATCGTTTTCTCAATTGGACCTGATGGTATCGTTGCAAAAATTCTTAATAATTGTAGTTTTTTCTATTTTTTCTTCTCTTTAGAAAGTACTTTCCTTCTCTATGGAAAATTTGTTCTATAACACCTATCCTTAAGTCAGAAAATTCTTTTTTTATTACAAATTAGAACTATATATCATTTTGCATAGCTCTAAAATTTTTGAGTCAGTAGTCTATAAGCTAATCAATCGAATTCTAAATCATATACCTATCCTTCAACAATGTAGATTTGGGTCTGGATAATCTACTGGACTATGTTGAAAGTTATTTACAAGTAGATGTTATCTTTACTGATTTTTTTAAAGATTTTAATTTTGTGGATCATGGTCTATTTATTAAGGCATTGGAGATGGAGGAATAGTATTGTGGTGTCGATATTTAAAGGTAAAGGAGACATACAGGAGTGTGAAAATTATAGAGGCATAAAGCTTATGAGTCATAATATGAAAATTTGGAAAAAGGTAATAGATAAGAGAATAATAAATGAACATCGGTATCTAAAAACCAGTTTGGATTTATGCCTGGTAAGTCAACAATGAAGCCAGTATTTTGTGTGAGGCAACTAATAGAAAAGTTTAGGGAAAAGAAGAAAAAGCTGTGTATGGTATTTATAGATTTGGAGAAAGCGTATGATAGAGTAACGAGAGAGGTTTTAAAGTGGGCATTATTGAGAAAAAGAGTCCCGAAAAAGTACATTAATATAAGTGTGGGAGGAGTAACAGAAGAGTTTAGGGTAAGAGTAGGAGTGCACCACGGTTCTGCTTTAAGTCATTACTTATTTTTTATAGTGATGGATGAAATTACTAGAGAAATACAAGGAAAGGTGACGTGGTTCATGTTGTTCGCTGACGATATAGTGTTAATAGGAGAAATAGGGAATAAATTAATCAAAGGCTAGTGGTATGGAGATCAGCTCTTGAAAAAAAAGCTTTAAGAATAATTAGGAGTAAGACAGAGTATATAGAGTACGAATTTGATCAAATTTTTATTTGAAAAAGGGAAATCATTTTCAAGTTTTAAGGGTAATATCTTTAACTAGACACTTGTTGTCATCAGTAATGTTAAAAAAATTGGTCAATTGAAAGCTGAGAAAAATGAATGACAGACACAAAAAAAGCCATATAATAAAATATTTTATATATTTAATGTAAGTTAGATTCGTGTAAATTTAATAAAAATTGGTGGACTCATTATGACAGCCATTTGCATATAGAAAATATGGGACAATTTTTTTTTTGAACTTCTAATACATAACATAAGCTTAATTTTAACAAATGTTTGAAGCTCGTAGTATTTCCGTAACATTTTCAAAACTTAAGTTGAAAAAATTTAATTTTTGTGCAGAAGTTGCAATTTTGAATCCTCTCCGTGGGCAGGTAAAGTATCAGACATTTAAAAAATTAAAGGAAAATACCTATAACGTAAGTTACAATAAAAAAAAAAATTATTTCGAATTGTTTATTTTTCAAAAAGTTATGACAGTTTTAAGAAAAAAATGTTGAAATTTACCGATTTTAAAAATCATAATTTTTTGGGGGATTTCTCTCATTTACAGAGAACGAGAGAATTTTTTTCAATTTTTAAGGACAATGTCTTCAATTATATAATACGATTTGTGATCTTTTGATGTATCGTTGAAAGAAATCGGTTCGGTGAGAGCCTAGGAAAAGTAGTGACAGACACATAAAATAAAAATAAACACATCATAGTACAATTAATACCTTCTCAGCTTTGAAGCTAAAATTATTTCTCATTTGATTCTTATTTAAAAGAAAAATATAATTGATAAGTCAATAAAGATTCTGGTCAAACATTTATGAAAACACTGATAAATGATTAATTATCATCGCATTTTAGCATCGAAGTTAAAATTAAATCACGTCCAGTTTCATATGAGGTGTCGGTGCTAAGAGGTCTAAATTCAATTTTTTGCCAGTAAAAACTATAATTGTTTTATGAAAAATGAATTTATAATTTCAATTTTTACGTACCTTAATACTAATGTTTGACGATGACTGCAACAATTCATTTATCATAAGTTTTTCACTTGAAAATGATGGCCTTGGAATGGTCCAAGTGTATATCTTTAAATAAACAATTATTTTTATCAAAATTGTATTTTGACAAACATTTTAATAAATTTAGTATATATTAAGTCCAAAATATCAATATAGTATTGAAAACAGTAAGGTTTTTAAAACAAACTGCTTATAATATGATCCATAGACTTAGTTATCTAGGGAGCTCTTTGGGCTAAAGTATACATAAATACATTAATAGCTTCTGCAAATATATAATGTTTATTTTTGAAGGGACAGTCTAGACAATGTGGGAGCGAAGCCTTCACAATTTTACAATTATTATCTTCTCAAGAAAATTTTTGAAGCTATGGTTTTTGATATAATAAAAATTGATCACTTGTGGCTAATTAATTAAGTAAAATTAAAACTATATTAAAAATATTAAACTCAAAGCCACAAAAAAATTAATGAAAAGTCGCGGATACGTATTTCGGAAACAATGTTATCATTATCAACGCTAAACACATACTGACACCCCGACTAGAAAAAACTCCCTTATATACCCCTAGTGACCTTATCACCTAGTGACGTCATCACTAAGTAATATTATCACATTTTGCCAGTTTACACAAGTTTAATAATGAATTTTTCAGTGGGCCAAGATCCCAATTAATTAAATTGTTTTTATTTTTAAACATTTCTATTGCTTCTCTGATATTAAGTTCTTTGTAATTATTTACGTTTTTAATTAGTTTTATGGTTTTAATGGAGTGATTATGTGTCAATAAATGTTCAGCCACTGGAGATTTCTCAACTTCTTGATTTTTAATATTTCTTAAGTGCTCTTTAAACCTGACCCCTATATTTCTTTTTGTTTGTCCTACGTAACATTTATTACAACTTTCACATTGTATTTTATAAATGCCTGATTTCCCCCCTTCATCTACCTTATCTTTAGGGTTACCTAATAAATCTCTTAAATTATTACTCTTAGATGTTACCAAAGTAATACCAAAATTCTTAAATATTTTAGTTAATCCATTTGAGATGCCCGGATAAAATAAAATTGGTGATCTAATTACTTTTTGTTCCCCCTCGCTGGAGAGTGTACTAGCTGCCCTCCTTTCTTTTTTCCACTTTTGTTTTCGGACTAATTTCAAAATTATGTTTTCGTTATACCCATTAAATTTAGCTATTTCTTTTATAACCACCAATTCTTTATCATAATCTATTTTATTCATCGGAATATTAATTAATCTGTAAACCATACTATTAAAAGCTGACAATTTGTGTTGCCAGGTGTGGTTCGATGTGTTCGGAATGTATCTGAACGTGTGTGTGTTTTTCCGATAAATTTCAAAATTTAGTTCCCCCTCTGTTCTTTTAACTAATAAATCCAAAAAAGGCAATTTTCCCTCTATTTCTTGTTCATATGTAAATTTAATCGATGGGTAAAAAGAATTTAAATGTTGTATGAAAACCCCCATATTAAAATCTTTATTTATAACTGCAAAAATATCATCTACATACCTAACCCAAATTTTTGGAAAATCACCATAAGTGTATTTTAAATTTGTTTCAAACCTACTCATGAAAAATTCTGCTAAAAATGGTGATAGCGGATTTCCCATTGCTGTGCCCTCAGTTTGCTCATAAAATTTATTTTGAAACTGAAAAACATTTTGACTCATACATAACTTTGTTAAATTAATAAGCTCATTTATTTTATCCTGTTCAATGTTTTGGTCCTTTAGCCAGTCTTTAAGAAAATCAATTGTTATATTTATTGGAATATTCGGAAATAAGGCAACTACGTCAAAAGAAATTAACCTGTCATTATTTTGAATGGTATAACTAGATAATTGTTTAACTAAGTCAATATTATTTTTAACTGAAAAGCTATCGAATTTTTTGAAAGATGAAAATACCCATACTAGGTGTTTAGCCAAATTGTAAGTCGGAGCATTAATATTCGACACAATAGGTCTCATAGTACTTCCTGGCTTATGTATTTTTGGCAAAGCATATAGTTTAGGTATTTGAGGGTTTGAAATTTTAATGAAAAACCTGAACTTTTCTTCGATTATTAATTTTGAACTATTTATGACGTTTGTAGCCTCCCTTATCATTTTACTTAATGAATTCTTTTTAATTTCTTTATAAGGACCCTCTTGAATCATTCTTGATACTTGAAATTTTTTTTGTAAAAAACTTGTTTTAAGACCCAACCAAAAAAATTTCCAATGGAAGATCTACTATTTTATCATAATAGATAATTTTAATAGAAATTATAGTAATAATTTCTAAGTAACTTTTGGTGTTTAAAAAGATTCTACTATTGAAATATGCAGAACTGAATTAATTTTAATGATATACTAAAACACCAAACAAAAAGTTAATTTACTCGAATTAAAAGAAACAAAAAAATTTCAACAAGTTTAACTTTATATGCTATGTCAACTATGTTTATATAACATTTAGGAAAATCAGTGTACTTTCCTTAAAGGTATTTTAAAATAGATTAAAATACAAAACCTAGAATTTTTAACACAAAAATAGTATATTTTTAAATACGGTAGCTATTTTCAACAAATTTAAGGTATTATTAATTACTGCACGATTAACAAAGAGAGAAGTTCTGACGACTTGTTTTCTATGAGTAATCGACCTCTAAATGTAATTTATGGGTAGATATAAAATTTATATTTAAATTGCTTATACTATTTGAATAAAATAGTATGGATCAAAATAAAATTTTTAGTGGAAATATTACTGCGTGATATTTTAGTTATAAATAAAAATTAATATGACAGTGTCTTATAAAGACAAATTTTTATAAGACTTGAATATGTTGAAAGTATACTTTCAACATATCTTTACTTGTGTAAACTAGCAAAATGTGATGATATTGCTTTGTGATAACGTCACTAGGGGTATATTTCGGTTAGGATGTCATTATGCGTTTAGTAATGATAGTAGGAAAATACACATATTTTTAGAGGTTTTTGTGGCTCTTTGAGCTAAAGATTTTTTAAAGAAATTTATAAAAAAAATATACCAAATGATAGTTAATACCTCACGTATCTATAAAAAAAAAAATTATATCGATTTTGTCATTTGTAATAAAATGTATGGCAATTTTAAGTAAAAAAAAAAATTCGAAAATTGGCAATTTTTAAATTTGTAATTTTTTTGGAGATTTCCGCCATTTACGGGAAACGAGGGAAATTTTTTCAATTTTTTAGGGTAATGTCTTCGACTAGATACAATTTGTGATCTTTTGACGTATCGTTGAAAGAAATCGGTTCGGTGAGAGCTGTGAAAAAGTGATAACAGATACAAGAATACATCATAGTAAAATTAATACCTTCTCAGCTTCGCATCAAATCTAAAACAAAATAGGAAATAAGTGACTCCCTTTTTTAACAATATTCATAATATAATGATTATAAACTATATCTTATAATCAATATTATAATAAATTTTTTAACGTAGATTTACAGTGCATAAATTCGTGTTGTTGGACACAAATAGATTTAGACATTACTTTTTATAGTCAAGTATTTGATTTTTGAAGTTGGTTTATAGTATTCCACATTAGTTATATCTGAATCACATCACTTATAAAAAAGAAAAAAGAAAACTTAATTTACAAATTTTCGGAAAAGTAGTTGAGTTTAAGAACACTATATGAAAAAATCCGAAAATTCCCCTATGTCTGTATGTATGTTTAATATACACGTTATTTTACACACAAATAGTATAACATTGACATAGAGTATCGAAATTTCATAACAAATATAACATTAATTTCACATATACAAATATTCCCTTACATTATATGCGTTATCAACTTCTAATACATGTATATGAAGTTTCAGATATATTTTTATAAGAGTATTTAATTGGAATAAAAATGTGTTAAGTTATTCAATTTAAATAAGTATTGTTTGCCAAAAATTAATAAAAACTGCCTTTTTATATTTAAAAACGTTTAAAAATATAATAAAAATTGATTACTTGCGACTAATATTATTTAAAATTAAATTTATGATAAAAATATTAATTTAAAATTAAAAAATACTAAAAATATTTAACTCAAAGTTTTATAAATATTTTTTCAAATATAATAAATTTGTAACATAACTACAATATAAACTTAATACTAGACTGTATTTATGAAATTGAAGGATTGATGTCGTCAACGCGCTGATGGTGCTCACAATTAGAAATAAATGAAAAAATCTTAAGAATAAATTATAGCTAACACCTGATAAATATTTAAATATAATGCAAAATTGTGAAATTTTTAAAGTAATGTTTTCTATTATATTAAATATAATAGAAAACATTTAAAATTAAGTATCAAACAACTTGAAAAAATGTATATTAAAAAAAAATTCACCGTCAAATTAATAAACAAAGAACGCGACTGTAATTGTTTCAGAACATAAATCATATAATAAAATTCTTTAGAAGTAAAAACCACTAGAATTATTATTATTCGTATTAATTATTATGGTATTATAGTTACAATAATTATAATTAATTATACAAGAATCCCTTTTTTTTTAATTTTGTACATTTGTTCTTATGAAAATTTAAAATATTAACTTAAAACTACAATATATAAATATGTATATGGTTTTCATTGAGTAAAGAAATGAGTTTTCTATTGTTCTCGTTTTTTATAACAACTGATCTGTTTCCTTACTTACTGAAAACTCTGTATATATATATAATTAAAAAATTCCTAAAAATACTAAAAAGTCTTATTGATTGATTAGGAAGTCAGAAACGTGAAGTTGTATATTTTTTATAATGAGTATAAAAAATTTGTAAATGATTGATGTAATAATTATTATAGTTATTTGAAGATCAAGGTTCCCGATGGGCGTTGATGAAAAATTATAATCCACCTTATTTGTTCTTGCTCATTACGCTGTATTCGTTTGGAAACAGAGTGTATATTTATATGTGTAAAGAGTTGAGGAACGCATGAGTAAAGTAATAAACAATGTATTTGTGGGAGTTGTGTAATTTTTGAACCGGATTTATATTTTTAGTTCACCCAAGGTCAATGTTAACGTTCGCGTAGATATTTATCGAAAATTAGAATCTTTATTAGTATTTTTGTAAAATTGATAAAATTTTTTATTTTATACTTCAACTTGTATATGTTTCAGTATATTTAAATTTGAGAATTCAAAACTTGTTTACTTATATTTCTATAATTAAATATATCTTTATTCAAATGAGATAAAAAGTATTTTATTTCAATCATATTATTATAAATTCAAATATGCTTTGTCAACGTTTCAGTTCGCTAATTTATTAACTGTTTAATTTAAAATTATAATTATTATATAATAACTTTGATATTTAAAAATACATTTTGGCTTAATTACTACAAAATGTTATTTTTATATTACAACGTGAGAATAAATTTTGAGATAAATTCAGAAAATTTTGAATAATTTAATAGATAATATACTGTTGTTAATTTAAATATGATTCAATTAAATGAAAATTGGATTAGTTAAATCAACCTTAGGTGATTTTTCGAATAATTATTTCTGATTATTGAAACAACATTTTTTTCATTTAGCCATAATTTTAAATACACGGATCGATTATTTTGGAATGACAGTTCACTCAACTCTTACTGTGTAAAATCCTTCTTTTCAAGCAAGGTTAATATAAATTCACTATGAAAATTTTTTACCCGAAATATATTGAGTGTATAAAGTTTAATTGTGATTAAAAAAGTCTGATTGATATATAAAATATTGTAATGTGACAAAATTTTGTTAAGTTTTATATATTTAGAACATGTGTATGAAGGAAAAAGTATATTCTTCTTGGTGTATTTTAAATAACAACCAAAAAATTGTTCGATGGTAGAAGACGGACGTTAAGTACTAAACTTATATAGGCAGAAATATATAAGTTTGTCTAAATCAAATTTTTAACAATTTTCCGTAAATATATATCAAATTTATTATTTTAGGGTTTACTTGACCAAATTTTTAAAATATTATTATATTTAATGTATAATGTCATATTTTATGGAATTCAATATTTAAGCTAATACAAAAAATTATATTGATATAATATTTTATGTATAAGTATGATCAGCGTTATAAAATCAGTAAAATATATTAGCAAAAATATTTCTTAGTCGTATCTATAAATATTAGATTCAAATATTTATACACAATATTTCTCGATAAAAAATATTGTTTTTTATATATTATATTAATATACAATAACACAATGTAATGTAATGTAGTTAATAAAGCAGTTTAAAAACGAACTATGGTTAAGTCTGTACATATACTCACATCTACGGTAGAATTTTCGATATCAACGACAATATCTAATTTTGGGCTCATTTTGACTCAAAAAATAAAACTTCCTTATCCTAGGACTTTTATTTGATTTGAATTCACTGTGATCGCCGTCGCTTATCCAGTCGATCATTGACTGGATTTATAAGAACGAAATATAATGAACGACATGATTCATTGTAGTCGATGAAATCACATAGACAACACACCTAGTGTAAGGTTTGTATTACATATTATTTAACTGCTGACTTTAATAAGTAGTGGGAGGCAGCGATGCTCTAATATTTGTTAATTGCAGTATTGCAATAAAAAACGATATTCTAAACCTGATATTATTAAACACGACTACCAGATTTTAAAATTAAAAAAATTCTCTTATTATTTAATATCTTCCTTGAAAAATATAAATCAGTAATATGTTAAAAATATATTACCTCAAAAACAAACTCATTGATAAAGAAATAGGTTATATTTTTTTACTTAAAGAAAAGTTTTGGGGATACTGAAAATGTAGCAGCAGATTTGTTTAAAATTTATAGTGGACTTGGAGTCAAAAATATAATATTTTTAATAATCAATTTAGTTCTAAATGGTTAAGGTACAATTTTAAAGAAGAAAAGAGCAGAAGTATTTAAGATTTTAAGGCTTCCTAAAAATAAATTTTTAGGTCATTAATGTTTTATAGAGTTATTAAAATTTCAATAGAAAACAATGTACTTTGATTACCTTGATCAGTCCCATTTAAAATTTTAAAAATTGCTTGACATTTCTTAACCTGGGTTAAAGAACAAATACAAATTATTCCTTTAAATTTTTACTTTTATTTTAATTTTTAAACATTATGCATATTTTTCTAGTAAAATATGAAGTCATATTTGTTTAGATAATTTAGCTATATAGATAGCTGGAGGAATAAAAGTAATAAAAAGTTGATTTCGAGATATATATATTATTTAGTATTTTAATTGAAAATGCAATATTTTCAATGCAATTATTTTAAGGAATTGATAATAAATAACATTTTATTACACAATTTTAGTGCAATATTAGATTCAATGGAATGCGTACAATGGACCTATAACCTGTGTATAATCTGTGTGTATGGGCAGTTCGTGTCCACCTCCAAAATAACTAAACTAACACTAGACCAAATTGATAGTTTTATTTTACTTTTTATTTTCTCATTTTTCTCATTATTTCCAAAATGTTCGTCCTTTTGACTTCTTCAATTCTAGTAGACTCAATATGTATAAAATAATTATCCCAGGCTCTTTAAATAGAAAGCCCAATATACATGGATGTATAATAATTACTTATTAATAGTTGACACTAATTCAAAAATCATTTCGTATATATTATGTTGCATAAGTTGTTTCGTGTATGATCTTTATTTATTAAAAATAAAATAATTACAGCATTTATTAAAACAGAAAATATTTATTATGCTTTTGTTACAACTGTGCTTGTTGATACATAACCAAAAAGACTATTTAAACATAATTGATAACCTTATCAAACATGATCCCTCTTTTATTTTTTAAATAATATTACTTAATTCTACTGAACAACATTTACTTAAGTCTATAGTCTCTTAAATATGCAGGTTTTTTACTTATTCTAGTAGGTTTTATTTTTTCAGTTATATCATCCTTTCACCCCTTTTTTCTTTTTCTAAATTAACCAAACCCAACCCAACCAAACCTTTTTCTTTTTCTAAATTAACACCAATACTAGTCATATCATTCTTCTCACTTCCTTCTGTCCCTCCACACTCATTCTTACCTTGCACTAATCTCAACCATTTCGTATTTCTTTTAAGTATTGTACCATTTGGTAGTTTTACTTTTAAATTTCTAGGTGTATCAGCTTCCTCCATATTTAATGCTTTATTCCAACTACCATTATATAAAACATATAATTCCTTAGCATTTTTTATTTAATTATAGTCCCTTTCTTTAGCTGTTCTATCATCATAATACTTTTGTTTTTCTTGATTGTTTATTAATAATTTGTATATCGACTCTGAATTATATATTTCAGGTTTCAACAATTCTATACAAACTGGTACTCTAGTCTCTAACCTCCTATTAAACATGAGTTGAGCTAGTGATAAATTAATACCTTCTAATGGACTATTTCTATATTCCAATATACTATACCATAATTTTTTTTCATCATATTCATTTTTTTAAAATATATTTTTAAAAATTCCTATACTTTTTTCTACTAAGCCATTGCTTTGGCTATTTTTGGGACGTTTATGTTTAATATCATTAATTGTACAAAAAAAATTTAATTAATGCGCATTGAAAGGCACATTATCTGAGATTATTTCATTAGGTATACCAAATTGAGAGAATATTTTTTCTAATTCCCTTATTACTACATTGATACTCTTTGATCAAACTTTAATTGCTTCAAACCATTTTGAATAATAATCAACTACCAATAAATAAACTTTTTCAGCTATTTCAGCATGATCTATACCTAATTTAAAATATGGATGTAATGCTAGCTCATGAGACATTAGAGGTTCCTTTATATTAGCTCTCTTATACTTGTTACAAGGTATACAGTTAGACAGAAAATTTTTAGACATAAACTACTTCTTTTGCTTTAGTAATTGTTTTATTTAAACCCATGTGATCTGAATGTAACTTATTCATTACCTCTTTTCTAAGTGCTTTTGGAACTATTACACAATCATTAAGAAGAATTAACTCATCACTAACAGTAATAAAATCTTTTTCTTTAACGAGTTTGCCTATTTCTGCATTGTTTGACAAATTTAGTGATTTGGTATCCCACCCATTATAATATAATTCTAACATTTTTGCTAAACAAGAGTCTTCCTTTGTCTTTAATTTTATTAATTTTTGTTTCTCAGGTGACACTTATAATACTTTTTCAGGTGATAAGATAACTTCATGAACTAATTCATTGCACTCAGTTTCAAATATAAGCTCATCATCTAAATATAATCTAGATAACAGGTGTGCTAATAAATTTTTTTTCCCGGCACAAACAATAGTTCTATGTCAGATATTAAGAACCCAAGTTTAAACCTCTGTAACTTAGCTGTTATCTCATTTATTTATTTCTTAAAAATTGTAATTATAGGCTGATTATCTGTATACATAATTATTTTATGCCCGTATACGATTTGATGAAATCTATGACAAACAAAATGTATAGCCAACAATCTTTCTCGATTTGAGCATAGTTTATCTCTGTCTTACTCAAACATCTAGAAGCATATGCTACAGGTTTATTATCTTGTAAGAGACAACACCCAATACCCGCCGTACTAGCATCACAATAAATTATTATTTATTTACTTGCATCAAATAAAGATAACACAGGTGGATTACATATACTTTCCTTAAATTTTAGCCATGCCTCTTTTTCATCGCTCTCCCATTTCCAATCACTTTTTTTTTTTTATTAAATTTCTTAAAGGGCTGGTTATTTTTGCTAGATTTGGGATAAATTCAGTTAGATAATTCCCTAGTCCTAACGCTTGTTGTACCTGTGTGACATTTTTTGGTTCTCTCATTCTACTTATTGCCTCTGTGAACATTGGATCTGGCAATACACCCTTTTTACTAAAAATCATACCCAAATACTTCACACTTTTTCCATATATTGAATTTTATCAGAATTAAACTTTATTCCCCACTTAATAGCTCTATCCACTACTTTAGCTAACACATCTCTATGTGTCTTGTTCAGTTTTTGTTGCAATTATTAAATCATCAAAATAGACAGTCACCTTATCAATACCTTCAAATGCAACCATTGCCATTTTCTGAAACACTTCTGGTGATGTTATTATCCCAAAAGGCAATCTCAAAAATCTGTATCTCTTAAAAGGTGTGAGATGATAGATGAGTGGAGTGACTAGAAAAGATACAATAAGGAACGAGTATATATGAGAGAGTATAGGTGTAGCGTCAATGGTGGCTAAAATGAGAGAAAATAGACTTACATGGTTTGGTCATTTTATGAGGAGAGAAGAATCGGAAGCTGTAAGAACAGTTATAGAAATGAATGTTGAAGGAAGAAGAGGTAGAGGAAGACCAAAAAAGAGATGGAGGGATGCTATTGAATGCGATATGAGGACAGCTGATGTGAGTGTAGATGATGTGGGAGATCGTGTCAAGTGGAAGTTTAGGATAAGAGTGGTCAACCCCAAATAGTTGGGATTAAGGCGAAGAAGAAGAAGAAGAAGAAGAAGAAAAAGAGTAATACAAAAAGTAAATAACTAAATAAAAGTAATACAGAGGTTTTAAACAATAAAATGATCATTGGCAAACAATCATGTATAATAAAAGTAGTGTAAGTATGAAAAAATGTTTTTAAAATATTACAGGATAGCTTAAGGGTGACAATACTTAAATAAACACTTCCTATACTTAAATCACTTTTATAGCAAATTTATATTGATGATACATAGTTTTTAAGATTAACAAATAGATAACAATTAATACAAAAAGTAAAACAGAACTTACCAAAAAAAACAACGGAATTACATTGCCCAATCACATTAACTTGGACACACGCTCAATTAACTTAAATAATTTGAGTATCCCACATGGTTTTCATTAAAATCAAGTTTGGTTAAGTTAGATTGTAATAAATAAATACATTATGGTGTATTTATTTATTACCATTGAAATCAATGAAAAAATTATTTGTTATGAATAAATTTACATTAATTACAATTTTTATAATTTACTTATTATAAAAATAAATAAAGATATATTGAATATTTATAATTAAATAAAAAAATTGTTTAACTTAGGGAAAAAACCTAATCGAAGTAGTCAACATGATCGACTGAGTTTTTACTTTAATATTGTTAGAAATAAATAAGTTTTCAGTTGAGGAACTTAAGGGTTTTCTCAGATATACAACGCTAGTTACTTAGGTATAAGTAAAAACGAATAAATAACGTTCAAGGTTGAGTATATTTTTTTTATTTTTACATGTAAGCACTATACGTATAGAGTGAAGCCTCGAAAATGCACACACTATGAACGAGAATAAAAACATTTGGTGTGCAAATTATGATATAACTTCTCTAAAATTTCGTGTTATCATATTTATTATGATTGAAATTCGTTGTATTGGTTTACAGTAAAGGAACATACTCCACATGGAAATAGAGTAAGTCCTAGATGTTCGCTATTTTTCTTACGAGCAAGAA